CCCCTTCATGGTGTGTTTCCACACGTGTCGCAAGGCGTGACAAGTACGGTGGTTCCACATCGAAGGAGACGAGGTCGCATGAGGTCAGACGTACAGACAGCCCACCAACTACTAGTCCCAAATTTACCCTAGCCCCTATTCTCAGGCTACCCTATAACTTTCACTGTCAGTGGTAAAGCTCGAGACTTGCGTGAAAAGGAGTTTATGAAATGAATATTTCCTTAAACATTGAAAATGTTCCATACTTTTCCGGACAACTGAGTTGCTGTTGCTGTGATGTCATTCCAGGAAGACATTGTTAATTTTTTTGTGTTTTCCCTTCAAATTGTGAACCAAAAAATGATTTTGTTCACTGAAAACATTTGTGAGAAATGTACATTGCATGAGCACTTTAATCAACCATAGACCCGCTACTTGTACTTGGAGGAAGGTATTAATGAACTTATTTTATTTTGTTCGAAAGGTTGCACCTTGCGAGCTCGAGCAGTGACAGTCTCGCCAAAGTACGGCGGGTTTTGCCGCTTGATTTTTAGCCAAGAAAAACACGGCTGGCATATTTTTATGTGGAAGTTTGGTAGAACCACATGGAGACTTTTTTTATAGCTCCGTGGTAGAACCACTGGCTTTCGTGCCTATACGTGTCAAGCAACAACAAAAAGAAGCTCAATATCCTTAAAAAAAATCTACAGGAATAAATTAAATTTCAAAGAACTTTTAAATCTGGTCGACCTGGCTCGATGATTACTATACACGGAGATATTTTTTTTATCCATGCCGGTTAATAAATTGACAAGTTCCATTCGTTTTATATTTGTGTACATTTATTTGTGAACTGACATTTTCCTACGGAAGTGGTTCAAGGATTTCAATTTTATAGCTTTTTCCGGCAAATGTGAGCATGATCCGATTAGTACCATACCAATCCACAGGTTATGCCACCGCTGGGAGATCGAACGAGTGCTCAACTGCACGTGGTGCGGAAGCAATATGGTAACTTTTCTCACAAAGGAGGAACCTTTGACGAGTTAGTTTGAATAGTTTCCAAGAGTTGGCCAGGCTTTTCCTCAACTGATAAAAATCTTCTTCCGAAAACAGAAAAAGATCGTCGTGAGAGTAATAAAACGTGTTATATATCCTCCATTTTATTTCAGAATGATGCAATTAAGTTGGATTTCCGGGAAACTATACCTCATGCTGTGTTGGCATGCTTCCCAATATCCCCCCCCCCAAAAAAGAGAAGTCGTCGGAAGAATAAAAACCCAACATTTTATGTTTGCATTTCCGTGTTTTGTTCCTTGTCCTGGATCATGATTAATCGACTACGATTTAATCAAGCCAAGGGGAATTTAAAGACAGTGACCACTAAAAATGAAAGGTTTCAAATACAAATTTAATTTGTATGCGCCGATACGATTTTCTAATATGCTTCCTTATAAGCCGATCACACACATACATTTACACGCGGCATTCTTTTTTAAGTTAAAAAGTTGTTGTTGCATAATTAAATAATTATTACTACGTACGTCGCAAGAGGGCGGTATATAAGCAAAGTGATCGAAGCTAGCGCCAGCCAATCACGTAGAGATAAAGTTACAAGCGTCAAAGGCATCAACTAAGCCTTCGGAAATTGTAAATTAACCCCAAAATAAACTTACATGTATTAGTAAATCAAATAATGAGGAGTGAAATGCATTCATTACGGGTGGAAATGTCCGCCTGTGTATTTATATTGTATAAATTAGGAGAGATCATGCAGTCACGTGCCGCGCCCCGCTTTTTCGATCAGATTAAGTCAAAGGTGCTTTTTATCATTCAAAAATGGCGTTTTGTCGCCGTCATCGTCATTTTACCCCAATTTCCCGTAAAAAAACAAAACCCTGTCCTCTATCTAAGACATACCTACATGTTCTTAATGTCGCCAACAAGTTTGCTAAGTCAAATAAATTAGAAGTGAATTTTGCTGTGAACTGTGACCGTAACCACGACTCGCCAAACTAAGGCTAGCAATACTTCAGCTTCAATCGTCAAAAGAAAAAATTGACCGACACTCGACAGTCCTTGCATAGAAAAGAACATTTCGTACTTACCAACCATTCATGTCTTTGTGTCAGCTGGCTCCAGTCCTTGGACGAACATTCATCATTGCATTTAAGACTGCAACTTGTCGGGTGATTCCTGTCAAACAATTTTAAAATTTACCGCCTAAAATGAGCAGCGACTACGACCACCACGTGCAGCGTCAGCTGACAAGTGAGGGCGCTATTGCCAGTCTGCTGATGCATCACGTGTGATGCTTTGTTTGTAAACACAAGACACGTGCTCGAAGGACAGTTCGACACGTTCACTGCTAAAAAAATCTTCCAAACAAGTAAGTAATTACAGTAATTTATCGATCCGATGTTAACTTAATGATACATTCCATTTAATGTTTGGAATCGTTGTTAGCAGTCATCAGGGAAATAATGTTGCCTCCTGACATGACACCACTTTCTTCATCATATTTCATATCACTTCTCAGACCCTGTACTCCGGTGCTCTATTCCCAAGTGATGTCTATTTCAATGAAAAGATCACAAGACTCGGCTCACCACTGATCATTTATCGGTCTACGAACTGATAAATACTCATTAAATACAATGAAACATGGACGGTTTCCCACCTCCGTGAATGAACAAGAACTTGCAAAGGAAAACATACAAAATTTGCCATCACTTGTTTGAAGCAACAAACAGCTCAAAATTGAAAGAAGGGTGCTGAACAACTTACCTGATCAGCTCAGGTTCAGCTGTATATTATGAGAAAAACAACATTCTAGGATCTCCCTTTCAAATCAAAAGTTGCTGAATCATGTTTTGAATTGGGCCTGAATTCAGCGTCCGAGACACGTTCTCACTGAGCTGATTGCAGCTACGCAATGTCGCGCACTGATCTGAAGAATTATAGCAACCGCGCGCATGTGCGTCGTGTCATCGCTTTCGAACGCTTTGCCAATAAAAAAAAACGAACTAATAACGGAAACTTACAACGATGCGTCTTTAGACGATGCGTCTTTAGACGCATCGTTGGAAAGGCCTTCTTTTGTTGATTTTTTCATGACAGCATGCCAGAAAGAATAACTTCACAGGGAGTTTAGTTCCCTTACTATCTTCCAACCAAGTATGTTTGCCTACAATAATTACGTCAGTTACTTTGGATAGCTGCAAATGATGGACTGTACACTTAAATTGCCAAAATCCACCCTGTCCTCTTTCATTCTAAATTATTAGAATGGTCCGCCCCCCCTCCCCAGGATTTACACCCTTGCCCACCTTAAATTGCCAAAATCCACCCTGTCAATCTGACCCCTTTCATTCAAAAATATTAGAATGGTCCTTCCCCCCCCCCCCTCGACCCCCAGGATTTACGCCCTTGCCGCCTTAAATTGCCAAAATCCACCCTGTCAATCTGACCCCTTTCCTTCAAAAATATTAGAATGGTCCTCCCCCCCCCTCAGGATTTACGCCCTTGCCACCTTAAATTGCCAAAATCCACCCTGTCAATCTGACCCCTTTCATTCAAAAATATTAGAATGGTCCTTCCCCCCCCCCCCCCCGACCCCCAGGATTTACGCCCTTGCCGCCTTAAATTGCCAAAATCCAGTACCCTGTCAATCTGACCCCTTTCATTCAGATATATTAGAATGGTCCTCCCCCCCCCCCCCGACCCCCAGGATTTACGCCCTTGCTCACCTTAAATTGCCAAAATCCACCCTGTCAATCTGACCCCTTTCATTCACAAATATTAGAATGGTCCTCCCTCCCCCCCCCCCCAGGATATATGCCCTTGCCCACCTTAAATTGTCAAAATCCACCCTGTCAATCTGACCCCTTTCATTCAAAAATATTAGAATGGTCCTTCCCCCCCCCCCCCCAGGTTTATGCCCTTGCCGCCTTAAATTGCCAAAATCCACCCTATCAATCTGACCCCTTTCATTCAAAAATATAAGCCTCTTTATTGGCTTTGTTGAAAGTTGTTTGACTACTAGTACCGATATCCGATTGTTACAAATTGTTGTCAAAATTGCGCTTGCCGCTTGGATGAACACAGTGTATGAGCTTTTGGGTTGAACCTCAGGGCCATGTCAGATAGAATTTCTGAAAAGAAAGTGAAGCGGAAAGTCCCCAACTAAAAACTCTGTTGGCGAAAATATAACTCTATGGATGGACAAGCTGGAGTCTGTTCAGATATGCATAAATGCCACAATGCCAGTAGATTAACTCAATGTAACAGCTTAAAATTGATTGTGCTCATTTATTTTGTGAGAACAGTTTTTGTGTCTAATAAAAAAAAGTGTTCACAAAAAAAAGTGTTCACAAAGAAATTTTTACGTTCTACACTTATTTCTAGAATGTGAATTTTACTACTTGAGTGTCAATTTTCACCAAGACAGTTTTCAACAATTTTGTATCCCTCATCACATTAATTTCTTTTCTTTATTTTATTGTAGTACGCCTATTTTATTTTATAAAGGTTTTACAAACAGGAGACTGAGAGTGGCCATCACAAGAATTATGTTGTCATTCACTCAAACTCGCCTTTTCAGAACATTAGTCTTGTCATTACTTTCCCCAAGTTTCTCTGATTTTGTGTTTGTCCTGAATTTCTGGGAAGGTTTTTGGTGTATGAAGAGTTTTTGTCTGTATACATTTTTTTTTTCTGGAAGGAAGTCTTTGTTGTCACCTAGTGGTTTTTGATTAATACACCTCTTTTTTTTCTTTTTAAAGTTTTTTTGTTTGCTTTTTCCATGGTAGTAGGCCCACAGTACAGTGTTATGCATTGTAAGCCCAGTTGTTTTTTTTAGGGGAATTGTCATCTTACCACTATTCAACAGCCCAATTCTGTACACTTGTACACGTTCATGCAACACAAAGGGGCCACCTTGAATTTGAGCGCGCACACTTTTTCTCCCATTGTTGAGGGCAGGGGCTTGTTTGCCCTGACCAGACCTTAGTGTTCTGGCTCAGCAGGTTTTTGGGCGAGAACGACGTTCATGCATGACTTACAACCCATGTAAAATTCTTATTGCCCCCGCGGGCCTGAATTCACAGCTTTCAGTATTGCTATAGCTCTGAGCGGTATGACAATGACACAGCCGAGTTAAGGGTGTATGTTGTGGAATTTGGTGCTGTTGCCAAAAAAGTGGCACACCTCTTTGAGCTGCTGTAAACTCTCTGAGAAAAAAAGTGGAGACGGTTTGAAAGTCTCGTAGACTCGCATCACGGACACGATGGGCACGAGGGTAAGAGTTTGTAGGTTTTGAGTGACGGAAACACATATTTTTGTTTCTGTTTAATAGTTCCTGGTTTCAAAGAAAGTTGCTTTCATTTGTGAATCACATGCCAAGCATGTTTAATATGAATCCAAGATTCGTAGGAATGGTGGCGCAATATTTCTAGAAGTAGTGAGGCCACAATTGTATGTCTCTTGGGCATCATTTGGATGCCCGGTAACTATTTTATATACCACATTTCATTGAGTAATGTGAAGATTAAAATCTTTACACTTGGCATGAGCAATGTGGATGCCCTTTTTAACTCAATTGTTTCAAGGTTAATTTGGACAGGCAGGACTGCTGACAAATTAAAGTTTTTTGAAGATCACAGTAACATTTCTGTAGCAAGGGGTAAAAAAATGGGAGGTGGCATGGTAGCAGTCTTATTTTCAAAAGGTTTGGGGCTGGCCTTCTTGTCCCCAAATATTTGTTTACACATTTTTAAAAGTGCACTGTGTGTGAAGATATTTTCTGAGGAGTTAGTAGCATTTTACACTATTTCTGATGATTTATCAAGCCGGAAGTATGTTTTAAAAGTTTGAAGTTGAAAACTTGAGTTATAATCATTGGGAAAATATAAGTCACAATGTTAACAAGTATGGGCCTATCTTTGAAATGCCTTTTGGTAGGATTTTTAGCGAGAATTTCTTAGCACACATCCAATTTCCTGCTGTTCCTCATTTTTCATCAAAATTGAAGAGTTTATAGAACATGAAGAGTTAGTGTTGACTGGCTAAGGTACAGAACTATAAGTTACTTTACTTTCTCCTTGTTGAGGAATCCTGTTGAATGGACTACAGGGTGAGTAACAAAAAAAGGAAACCCAAATGTCAGGACCATTTTGTAATGAAGTTCTGCATACGGCACTTTTCAAAATTTATAAGCTTTCTTTTAGTACAAGAATCATCCAAATCACTCAAGTACTTTTCAAGTTTTAAAGTTCTGTCCACGGATCACAAAAAACTGTAAGTGTTCTTTCAGCAAAATGAAACCATTTCACATACATCCCTATGTGAATTGTTTGCGTTTGGCTGAAAGAACACTAACATTTATTTGTGATCTGTGGACAGAACTTTAAAACATTGTTTGTGTTTAAAATTCCATCACTTGAAAAGTACATAAGTGATTAGAATGATTTTTGTACTAAAAAAAACTTATTAATTGGGCTTTCATATCCTAGATTTTACAAGTGCTACATGCAGAACTTCACTTAAAAAAATGATCATGACATTTGGGTTTCCTTTTTTTTTTTTAATCACCTTGTTCACAAAAGCGGTGTCTTTCCCCTCTCAATTAGTCATAAATGGGAAAGTTGATAAGATTGATTTTCTGAAATTTGATATTTGTGAGGCATTCTGGCAAAATGAGACAGAACTGGGCAGAGGTCGAATTGAGCGTTTGCAGGTATTAGGAAAGAGAATAATATTCTCCTTACAATACTGTTTGTTGCACTTCAATCAGACATTCCGTTGACAAGTTATGGCTGTTAAAAGTTCGTATTCATCAACATATCAAAGAAGTAAAATGCTTAGAAAAAGGTCTTTAAAGTTTAGAGTCTTGCATTCGTGAAAATGAAAGATGCTAATTGTTTTTCCTTAAAGAACTTTTATTCTGCGATTTTTAAACTGTTTCTTTAACATTATGTGTAGCAGACATATCAAAGATGACAAATATCAAAAAAATCTGAAAATAATAAACAGAAATCACCTCATTCATTTTTTGGCATTTTTCTCCACAACCTGTTCCCATGCAGTTCCATCACGTTTTGCCTCACATTTTAGAAAATATATTTTTTTTACAATGTGGGAACAGTTTTTTTATGACTATGTATTTTTATTGGGTGCAGAATGTATTGCACAATAAATTTCTATTATTTTTTAATTTTTTAAAGAACGAGTTTATATATTAATAGTGGGGCAGATAGGGGAAATATGTGAGGTAATTGCGCCTTTGATGATACGAGCACAGCATTTGGCGCACAGTCAGAGTATGTCATGAGAAAGATATCTGGCTATAGGGCCATCGCAGATTTGTCCTTTGAAAAAACACAGGTAGAATAACAAACAAAGGCAGCCATTTCGAAAATCTTGAAAATTACTTTTTTTTCTACCTAAAAGTTTTCAAAGGACCAATCTGCGATGGCCCTATAGCCAAATATCTTTCTCATGACATACTCTGACTGTGTGCCCAATTCCACGTTTCTATCATCACAGGCACAATCTCTGCTGTACTAAAATGTTTGTTTGAGAAAAAGAAGTTTCAAATTTGAACCCTACTTTTGTCGAGAAACCCTCCCTAAATCGTCAGGCTTCAGAATGTATTTCTAAATCAATAAGGGGAAAATGAAATAGATGGTTTGGTGTGTTTCCTATGGCCCATTAACAATTACATCCACCAACTACATGTTATATTTAACGTGTGCCTTGAAGGAACAGAAACTTTTCAAACATATGCATTGTTTGGCTGTTGTTATAAAAAAAAAGAATAAAAGGTATAGGCCCTACACTGCACAGTGCAGGCGGAAATAAAAATTGCGGTCAAATGTCAATGTAAAATCCTTTTCATTCGTATACGTAATTTGCATGCCTACAGTTCAGTGACAGTGATGCGAAACGAAAGTAAGGGTGTGTGTTTGTGTGAAATATGACGCAGATTGAAGTGGCACAGCATTCTGGGTGTGTTTCTCAACCAGGTATATTGGTAGTCTATGGAATATCCCCTTGCATAGCAAGTTCTATGATATGCGATGCGAGCAGATTCGGCGATTAATTATGCAAAATAAGACTGCGTCTTGACCTCGAGATTCGGACCATACAGCGGGCACCTTCTGTATCGGGACTCCCGTAACCCGTTGTTGTATTACAAAAACCTATGGCATCCAAATTTGCCAATCAACAGCTTAGTCCACATTTTTGATAGAAATGACCTCATGGGCGTCGCCAGGATGGGGCAAGGGGTCCATCCCCCTCCCCCCCAGAAAAACCGCCCCAAAAGTCATATTGCTGTTAATTGAATGCACATTTAACAACATGGGCGTCCACAGGGGTGTCAGTGGGGATAGGGTGGGCAAATGTCCCCCGCTCAACCTAAAAAAAATAATAAATTGAAAATAATGCTAGAAAATGTACAAGGCTTTTTGGATATAATGTGCCTTGCCCCCCTGTAGAAAAAAATCCTGGTGACGCCCATGAATGTCGTAACAGTTTCTAAAGTCGACTCGATTGGCTTGCACACGGGGTCGCACAAACTTTGAATGTTAATTGGGATATATCAAACGTTCCACCTTGGCTCTGCATAGGTGAAGGTCTGATCTTTCGACTAGTTTTTTTTTGGAAGAAGTTAGCAACTTTTAAAGAATAAATAAATAGATAAAAACCTAAAATAACTGCTGTTTCTAAATGTCTTTAAACCTACTTGATTCTTAAATAGTTTCTAACTCTATAACAGCTGTAGAAACTGACTTTTGGGTATGGGCTAGTGGTCTGGGGCGTTGAATTCGTGGTCTGCGGGTAATTCTGCAGGTTGTGGGTTCAAGCCCAGACTGGGCTATGACACTTCTATGCCTGATATGGTAGAGGCATTATTAATGCCTTGCAGTGGACTAGTTACCCAACCCAACCCTATTCATACTGTGAAGAGATTAGATTATCTTGTCTTGTTTCAGTGTGAGGGGCTGGTTCTTCCACACTTTCCCCTGTAACCCACACCTCGAGTGGCCTTTGGCCTTATGATGGGAGATTTGCATAAACAAATTATTTTAAAAAATTACAAAAACCAGGAGAGGACAGGATTCTTTATTTTAAGGGAACAAAATAACGTTTATTGCATTTTGGTAACAAACTCTTCATATATATTGTAAAATTAAAATAAGTTGAATTGTTGGATGTAAAACAATCTGTAAACTTTAATGCTACATTTCAAACTTTCAGTTGGTATGCTTAATTTTCCCTTGTTTAGTTGACATAATAATGATTTTTTTTTTATATTTGCATAATGTTTTAATGCAGCCTTTGACAGCAGTGACATTAGAACATTTTCTTAACAATTTCTCCAAACAAAAGGGCTGTAATATATGTTGAGAATTTAACAAACCATCTAATTGTATTTTTGTATTTTGTTTTATAAATTTGATCATCAGAATGATTTCAATGTGAACTTCGGCGACTCGATATATCAATATCGGGATCCGGGAGGCCGCGAGGGAGTGAGGTATGCGCTATTACATATTTCAGCATTGCGTTTTAGTTTAAACATTGTTGGTTAATTCACAATGCAGTGCGCCACCGAGAGTTTGCCATGGAGAGTCCATTTTTTAAGTTTACGGTCGACAAAGCATGACCCATTTGAACGAGTGTCATTAGACAACTTGAGCTAATTTGTTATAGATTGGGGCATAGCGTTCTGCCGCCTTACAAAAAAAACCACCATATTGATAAAAACAAAAGGAAAGGGCAAACAGATACTCAAATCATAAGCTTACCATACTACTGACCAGGAAAAAAAAAACGAACAAAAAAGTTTTCAAATGTCCGGTGCTGCGAATTTGTCGACCATCTCCCACAATGCACTGAAAATAAAAAGAATTCTGAGGCAAACTCTTGGTAGCGCACTGCATTGTGAATTGCCTGAATTGGTACATGTGTTTTTTTGACCTTTTTTCCCATTGGGTTACTTTTCTAGTGTTTCCAAATTGGTACTGCACATAAAAAGGCATACAACTTCATATCAATAATACCAAATGCCACAATATTTCATGCAGTATATACTGTGAACTCTTGAAATCGAGTGCCGCACAAGCCTACTGTACAGGGTGAGTAAAAAAAATATCGGGACTATTGTTTTATTGAAGTTCTGCATGTAGCACTTTCAAAATCTAGGAAATAAAAGCCCAATTCATAAGCTTTCTTTTAGTACAAGAATCAGTCAAATCACTCATGTACTTTTCAAGTTAAGGAATTTTAAACACAGCCACCGTTTTAAGGTTCTATCCACAGATCACAAAAAAAGGTGTGCGTTCTTTCAGCAAAACGAAAACAATTCACACACATCTCTGTGTGATTTCTTTTCGTTTTGCTGAAAGAACACTGAACTTTTATGTGATCCTTGGACACAACCTTAAAACGGTGGTTGTGTTTAAAATACCGTAACTTGAAAAGTACATGAGTGATTTGAATGATTCCTGTACTAAAAGAAAGCTTATGAATTGGGCTTTCATATCCTAGATTTTAAAAATGCTACATGCAGAACTTCCCTAAAACAATGGTCCCAACATTTGGGTTTCATTGTTTTTTTACTCACCCTGTATAAGGTGTTGAGACTGAACACTCAGACCATGTCAAAATTACCGCCCTACGGCTTGAAATTACACATGTGCCTATTGAAGCGGCTACAGCCGAGCATGACGAATCGGCTGGCTGGTTAGTGATCCAGCAGCGGGCACCGCAACAAAATTATATAGTTCAATAGTTTTAACAACTCTGAAACAGCAACAACTTTGAAGCAAAGCGCATGAAGCTACAGAGATCATTGCGTTTAATGCTTGTCTTCATTAAGCGACAAATTCACTGTCTTTATCTTACAAAACAGAACACAAAACTTGTGATTTGATTTGTGACAATTACTCTGAAACCACAACTTTGAAGGAAAAAACTGCATAAAGCATTGAGGTCATTGCATTACAAATTTCCTCATTGCGCAACAAATTCAGAGTCACTCTGCCATTATCATAAAAATTGCATTGAGGCCCAGGCTATGTTCATTTAAGTGAACTTGTACATGTACAGTCCAACCAAATGAAACACGGAGTCGTTGTATATGTACGTATAGCAAACATGAAGTGAAGTGTGAAAATAACAACTCCCACCTTTGCCCCGATAGAATTGAAAAGTTTGTTTTGAATTTCTAGAATGAAAGTTTTTTTTCCATCCTACCCATTGAAATATTGAACAGTAGTAAACTGTATAGAAATACCGTGCATGGTGCATAACTGCAGGGGACATGACCACTGGTGCATTACTGGTTCCCGTAAACAACACTAACTTTGCACATTGTGAAGAACATCCGGGTGACTGTGAAGTTGAACACGCCCAGCGTTCATTTTTTGACCTAACCTCGCCTGTGTTGTATCGTTTTGGTTGGTTGAAATGTTGAAACCAAAGACCAGTTCTTTTAGAACTTAAAGCAAGACTGTTCTTATCAGAACTAAAACTACTTAGCAAAAGTTGATAATAAACAGGACAAAATCTTTTTGGGCAGTAGTTATTACAACATGGTGTTACCACAAACCGAAATGATACCGATACTCCACCAAGCAAAGCCTTAAATCTTATTTACATGTACATACCAAGCTATAGACTCCCAAACAATTTCCTCCAAACTTGAAAAGATAGGTTTTTAAAATTCGCACATGTGTGAAATACCCGAAACATTTTACATTTCAACCTTAATTTCTGTCAGAGTGTCATTTTCAGGGCTGTCCATTTTTCGAATAATTTTAGTATTCGATTACTCAAAACTGAGTTTGATCGAATAGGGGGCCTATGTTTTATAGCTGTCAGGGGCTTTAACCTGCTAAAAGGATAGAAACATTGAACCGCCGTCGACAAAAACGTTATTGTCTACCAACAAAAGTGGTACCTGACAATAAAACGCCACAGTGATAAAGTTTCATAACAGTCGTGTGTGTACATGTATGTGTGTGATTTTTTTTGTTTTCAAATATTCAAAGCAGCAAAAAGCTACTGGAATATTCAGTTGTTGATCGAATATTTTAATATTTAGTATATTCAGGACAGCCTTATTCATTTTCAAGTACATTTTGAAATTTTTTCATGATGCTTCTTTCCCGTTTAGAAGCCGAGACCAGCTTGTCAGAGAGAGAACGAATTTAAGATTTTTCTTAAGGTTTAAGACTCTAAATGAATGTATTTTATAGTTGTGGAATATTCCAAATGGCTGTATTTTATAGTTGTTGAGTATATGTACTTACTTTACAATTTCAAATTATTTGTGGCTCAACAATAATTTAGGCTGATCTTTTTGCGTGTTAGAGGCGCAAAAGCAATCCAAATTTAAAATCCTTTTCCAAGGGTTGCAAATATTTTTTAAATTTTATTAAGAAAGAAACAAGGAAAATAACAATTTCAGGAGTTCAAAACTACTTGTTGAAGAGCAGTGCAGGAGCAACATTAATCTGTTAAGTTCTTTGATATGAAATCGAAATTGTTATTACAATTGATTGTAAAAGTCCAAGGGCGTCAATCACTTCTCAAAAGTTGGGGGGGGGGGGACCTACCTTGATCAGCATTAATCCCTAACAACGTGGGGTCAAGGACCCATTTAAGGGCCCCGAAAAATTTTGGATTCTAGATACTGTATGGTGCGATCTGAGACAATTTATGCATGACCACTTAAACCAATTTTTTTTTTAGTAAAACAATTATCTTTTAAACATCATTTTCGAAGTTTGGAGTCATTGATATCTATTTTGAGCTATACAATCATTATATAGGCAACATTTTTTTTTATTCAGGGACAAAAAATATCTCTCCCCCCCCCACTTTAAACAGTGGAGGGGACTTGGTCCCCCCCCCCCCCTCCCCCACTGATTGCACCCATGTTAAAAGACCATGACACTCACAAATCACTCACAATTTTGATGTAAATATTCACCATCTTTGTTATTACTTTTGTGCCCAGGAATTTCCATGGTCGCCCCAAGCCATTCTATGACAGCGGCAGCCCTCTCGTTGGGGCAGCTGCAGCACCTGCTGGTGCCTCCGGGCCGCTGGTCGTGGCAGCCATCACTGCAGTTACCATTGTCGTCGTACTAGTCGTCGGCATTCCGCTTGCCGTCATTTTTGGAGTCGTCCTGCCAAGTAATTAATTTCATAGAGACAAAATGTGTTCAATTTGATTCAACAAATTTTCACATTTCAATATGTTTTAATTTAAGAAGATTCAAGTAGTTAATATAAATTTTAAAAAAAATTCAAGATGTTGTAGTATTACTTTTCTCCTTTTTTTTCAAATCATTTGTCTAGATGTTTGCTTTCATGCTACCTTATTGAAATAAGTGTTTTCTTTCTTGATCGATTTACAGATGCAACGACAGATACTGTAACTCCAGGTATTACTTCGTTCATTTTTTTTTTCAAAATTGAATAATGTTTTAAAAGGTTCCTCCTGTAACTGATGAATTTATTTCTTTTAACAAAAACAAATGGCAAATGATTTATAAATGCTCAAGTTTTGGTCATTTTATGTATTAAAAGTTTATTTACAACAGACTAACTGCACATGTACATAATGTGCATATGAACATGTACATGTATGTGTATATGGTATATAGTGCAACCACGTAAAACAAGACTTGAAAAACCACCACGGGTTTTGCAACCCTCTGAGACGAAAAGAGGCAAAAGCAGCAGAGAATCTGATAGAACGTAGGATCTGTGGTATGAACTGGAGCACACTATTTAAAACCACTTTTTAAGATTCGTTCGGAAAAGCACGTATATACCAGCTTTAACTTAATTGCAGTTGATTTCTGAATTACTGTAAATGTCTATATTCTTTTTGTTCATTTGCCCCTTTTTTCCTGAATGTTCCATCAGCAGTTCCATCAACAGTACCACCAGTAGTACCTCCAGTAGTGCCAACACAACCAGGGGGCGGTCCTAATACAGGTACGTAGTATTTTTAAGGATCTTCCTGCATTTAGCACATTTGTCTTTTTTCAAAAATGTGATCCGTGAATTGGTATGTTTTGGATATCAGATGGAAGCTTAGAGCTTATTCTTTCAAATAGTCATCAAAACAGCACATTGGGTTGCTGAGAAAATGCCAAGTCCGCAATGCAAAAATCTATCTTACAAGATATTGTATTGATTCATCCCGTTCCATCCGTTTACATTCAGTTGCTCCGCCTGTAAGAACCCTACTAGTGCAATGTCCCAACGACATCTCGAGGGGCACGGACACGGGACTGCCCACTGCTGTTGTCAACTGGAATGCACCGAATGTCCTCAGCCAGACAGTGGGTCCAGTGACAATGACGCCAACTGTCCAGCCAAACCAAGCCTTCGCCATCGGCAGACTTAAGGTTGATTACGTCGTGACTGATGCTGCAAACAACAGGGGAACCTGCTTCTTTTGGATCACGATTGTCGGTAACGTCAAATGTGTTTTACCTTTTTTATTTCTTCATCAAATTAACCACCTCAGGAAACTGACTTGGTACAATTCAAATAATGGTTGAGTTGAACACAGAAATTGACTGGAGCGGGGTTTGAACCTGAGTCCTCAGGAATGCTGCACCAATGCTCTACCAACTGAGCTATCCAGCCCTATAAGGGGGTGGTTCCCCAGTTCATCAACGTCTTTGTTCTAGGATGCTAGTCAGAAGCCATAAACCCATAGGGCAATAGGCCATGCGTCCAGGGATCACACCTTAAGTCGTGATAGCAACATAAGTTATCATACAAATATAACATGGTTTTGAGGGTGGACAGTCGATATTCACTCCCCGAGGTATTGGAAGTTGACAAAATTTGCTTTGGGAACTAGCTTGTAAACTTCCAATACTGAGGGGAGCTAATATCGACTATCCACCCAAAATAAACCATGTTACATTTGTTTTATTAGACCTCATTCATATTCAGCTACCATTACAATTTGTCGCATAAAATGTCCAGCAAACCAGAAGAATATTGCTCAACCCCAGAAAAGTTCAGTTCTTTTGCAATACATTAACTCCTAAGAGAAGAGTTTCTACCGCTTTGTGGACAACTTTTTGTTTAGTAGAGGATGCATTTTTATTGTCCAAAATATTCTCAAGTTTGGCATCATCAGGCTCAGGAAAAACGCTGATTAATATTTACGTGTGCTGCCATCTTTTCATGTGTAGCTAGGGCGATGTTCGCGTGTGCGTACTACACCCGTGCGAGAGTTCCACGATTGCTTTGTAAAGCGCATGCGTGGTGGATCATCAAACGGGTAACCCGTGCCATAGTCTACTACGCATGCGTATTTAACGTGTGCATGAATACTCGCGTGCGCGTTTGGTAAACAGCAAAACTAGCGGCTGTCACGTGATTGTGAATGGACCAGTGAGAATTTGGCTCTCGATCATGAATATGTATGAGGTATAGTAATAGTTTTTAAACAGATATTATTTTTGTGGTATCTGTTTATACCACAAAAAGTAGTGAATATCCCAGTTCGACTCCTGATCCTATATTGGCAAATAGACAAGAGGGCTAATAATAATAACAGATAATTTATAAGGCCCACAGTATCTGGCGAACCATTCAAAGGCGCCAGTCACTAGCAAATCACTGTGGTTTAAATGATAGATTGAAAAGATGAGTCTTAAGATGGCGTTTGAATGATGACGTATCACTTGTGTCCCTTAACTCGTCTGGCAAGGAATTCCAGAGACGCAGTGCACAGCTGGACAGGGCTAGCGGTTATTTGCTGTGAATCAAGCAAGTCTGCATCGTCACAAAAGTAAAAAAAATAATTTATTCAAATAAATATTGTAAAATCGCTTTCGTTTCCCCTAAAGATGATGAACCCCCTGCCATCCAGTGCCCGGCGCCTATCACCGTACCCACGGACCAGCTGTCACAGTCTGCAAGTGTGAACTTTCCCCTGGCCACCGTCACTGAAAACACCAACGGTGCTGTGACGCGGCTGATGACCGATGATCCGGGGGACCAGTTTATCGTTGGCACACACACGGTCACCATTGTCGTCACCGATGAGGCGGGCAACGAGAACCGGTGCTCCTTCACCATTACCGTGGAAGGTAAGTTGGGGGATAGTTCCGTAAAGTTTTGCTGAACAACAGGACCCAGCAACAATGTTTCCAGAAACATTTGTGCATCACTGTCTCCTAGCTAATTATTTTTGCTGAGCGAGGAGAAATATTCTGAGCAATGGTTTCTGCCAAGTAGATCCATGTAGTTGGACTTGGGGTTTTAAATGCTTCCACGGTTTTAAATGCAGTAATTGTCATAAAGTTTTCATTTGAAGCAGCAAAAGTACTCAAAATCTAAAGAAGGATACTCAACAACTAACCTGATGAACTTTTAGCTCAGTGAATGCTGTATATTCCAAGAAACCAATATTTAAGGATCTGGATTACAATTCTAAAAATTGTTGAGTCATGTTTTGAATTGCACCTGAAATCAGCATCTCGAATCAATGTTCTCATTCAGTCGATTGCAGCTACGCGATGTCACGCACTGAACTGATGAATAATAGCAGCTGTGTGTGCGTCCTGTCAACGCTTGCGTGCACCCATCATTCACAGCTTCGCGTCTTTAGACGCGTCTTTGGAAATGACCTTCTTTCATTGTTTTCTTCAAAATGACAGAATGCCAGAAAGAATAATTTCACAGGGAGTTTAGAGCCATTACTATCTTAAACACCATTAAGCTTTTCAACAATAATTTTGTTAGTTTCTTTTTGGATAGCTGCAAATGATATCTTTTATGTGTTTTTATTTTGGTACATGGCACACGTGTACATCACATATTAGTACATCGTGACATGCTTTATTGTATTAGATGACTATTACACATAATGACATACATGTTAATGTTTGCAACACTGCTTTTTGTGTATCAACAGATAGAGAAGACCCACGTATCACTTGCCCCAATAATTTGCGAGCGAATACCAACGACCCCAATGGTGGCGCCCCGGCAACTTGGCCCGATCCCTCAGTGATTGACAATGTCTTGGCCACACCCCAGGTTACGTGCACGCCGGCGAGCGGATCGTCATTCCCCTATGGGATGAGCAGTGTAAACTGTACAGCCACAGACAATGCCGGGAACCAGGGAAGCTGCGTGTTTCAGGTGGAAATCCGCTTTAACGGTGAGACACAAAAAAAGTCCATCACGAGTGTATAATTGCTAGACAAAAAAAGCATCCAGTCCCAGGTCAAATAAAGGCATATATACAACATTTTGCCTTTGCTGTAATTTTAAGAAATGGATGGTTTGGGGGGGGGGGGGGTAGTATTTTGTAGCTACACTAAATTGTTTGATGTTTTGGGTTTGCAGATGCTGGGAAAACCAAGAAAAACAATCATGTCCTTGTAGTCTGGTTCCCTGACCCCACTTAAGATGAAACAGAGCAATTTACAGACGTCGGGGAATTGTAAGGTCAGAGAATCAGTCTAGCTGGCTCGTACCCGTTCACAGGTGTGTGATCGATTGCAAAGAAAATGCTGACTACCTAAATATGATAAATTGGGAGCAGTATTTGAAAAAAGCCATTTTTTTCCAATGCTGGTCGGCCGACCAGCGTTGGAAATTGACACAAAAATACCACTTTTCTTGAAAGTGTCAGCACACCAGGTGCCATGATAGTACAAGATGCTTTAGACTGTCATTCACTTGACAGTCCAGTAAGGCTTTTCGTGATAATTTGGTAGTTTTGTTTTTTGATGTTTGCAAATGTTGTAAATTCCCTTTAAAAACTATTCAAATTAACCGGGCCGTTCCTTTGTCATTGTGTCACCTCTTGTGTCACCTCTTCTTTACGTAACATTTTCCTTCCCTAAAAGACCCAAAAAGCATACTTTGCAAAAAAATAGTTAAGCATTTTTCACCTTTAACAGTAATTATTTTTGTTTTTGAAATACATCATTTTCCCCTTAAATCTACTTTGAATAAAATATCAGATGTGTAGTTTGTACAGTGTGAAAACTTGTTAATGGCATACGTGTTCACAGACCATGGGCAAAAAGCCGCATAAAACTAGTGAGGCAGCACAGCTTACAAGAAATGGATGTACGGTTCATTGGATTCCGGCAGTGGACAAAAAGGCCAACTTTTTTTTGTTGGCAATTGCAGTCGTTTATACATGACTACATATCAAGTGATAATAGAATTAGTTTTGAGGTTAAGGACGGTGTAAAGTACAGTCTGTTGGAGGTGTAGTCTGTGGAGGCGCACCGTGTGCTTAGCATTGTGTGGGCCGTTGTGCACGGCCTACTGTTGTACAATTTACGCTCCAGTGCATGCGCCACACCCTGGAGTATAGAAAGATATGAGGTTTCGGCAAGAAATATTGTACAAATACTGTTGAAATCACTCTCATGAATCAGTATTTGTGGCGTTTGGCTGTATATCAGAAGTTGGCTGGAAAATTTTGCCTTTTGAAATTTTTGGGCAAAAATAAATCCGGCGCGAAGTGGTTCAGAGAATTTCAAAATTGTGTAAATTTGTTGAAATTCCAATATATGATTACAGTTTTGACAGCTAACTCTTTTTTTTGTAGGGAAACAATTTCTGTACTAACAAAATTTGTCAGGAACTGCATTAAAAGTGGCTCCCTGTTTTGCTTGAACAGATACGGAGATCCCAACCTTTATGAATTGTCCAGCTGACTTCAGTGTGAATGCCACTGTAGACTCCAATGGTGCTACGGTCACTTGGGTCGTACCGACAGCCACGGACAACTCACAAATGTCACCTACAGTTACCACCGACACAAATCCCAATACATTCTTACCAATTGGCACACACCGGGTGAGTGAATTTTTTTGAAAATTTTGTTGAAGAATGTAGTATCCTATACAAAGTCGATGGAGAGTTGAGTGCATTTTCAAAGTATTTTCTAACAAAGTTGGAAATGTTTCTCACTCCCAGATTCATGTCTTTTTAACATTTTTTTTGGCAATGACCTTCATTGAGATAGTATATGATGAAAAAAAGTGGGGTCAGGATGCAACATTCGTTCCTTTCTTTTCTTGGGGGGGGGTTTATAAAACCCAGGATTCTGCAAAAGTCACCACTAATCATATCAAGCCTGTTAGGAAACAATGAGTAAGTTCATTTTTGGAACTTTGGTCAATAAAACAATATGAATGTTCTTTGGAAAATTGACACAAATACATAATTGAAAAATATCTAAGACAGTTAACCCATTCCTACTGGTCGAGAGCCCGTCGCGGTTGATAAAGACATGGCTGGCTGGTCTGAAACACTTTTCCAGTGCCTCTTGCAATTTTGATTTCTTTGAATCCAGTGCCTTTTTGTTACCGTTTCATTGGTTGAATGCTCACAATGTACACGAAGGCTTGTGCAATACTACCAGTGAGTCAGTATTTCATCGGCACAGCTGCGTTCTGCGCGACATCGCGCCTTACGCCTGACGTGTGCATATATCTCCTAATAAGGGGTTGTTTAAGACATGGAAACTACTATAATACACAAAAACCCAAAAAGAAACTTTTGGTTGTGTGTAGCTACAGGGGTATTTTGAAAAACATGAAGTACAATTGTTGAAAAAAAATTGTTAGAAATTTATATTTTTTGACTTGTTTTGATTTTTGGACCAAAAAGTGTGATTTTTATACCAATTTTTTTTTAACCAAACGCACCGGTCTTAAACAGAGTGTTTAATACTGGCCAGGCACATATTTATTCCCTTATTAATATGTGAGGGTATTAGGGTGTTTTTTTTTGGGGGGGGGGGGAATGTGTACAAGTATAACATTCAATAACATTTGATCGAAATGTTCTTTTCCTTTTCACTAAACTAGGTAACATACACAGCCACTGACGCAGATGGGAATATTGCCACGTGTATGTTCGATGTAGAAGTAGTTGGTAAGTAAAAAAAACACACTAATTTTGTTTTGGTGGTTAACATTTTTTTGGATGTTACAATAAACACGAGGTTTCCTCAGAGTCATTTTTTAAAACATTAACTTCTTTTGTGCACTCATCAGCATGAAGTCTTGTTTTTAAAATGCTCTCAGCTCTGACGCTCCTCATTATGAGTAAACGATCCCTTAATTGAGGCCCGCCCCAGTCATGGGCATCAATCGGTTGGGGACGGGGGCAAGTCCCCCCCCCCCCACTTTTTAAAGTGGGGGATATCATATCATTTGTCCCCCCCCCCCACTTTTTTCATCCCCGAATAAAAGTTGTAGCCTACATATGATTCTTTATATCAGAATAGATGGTTCAATGACTCCAAATTCAAAAATGATGTCTAAATGATGATTGTTTGCAAAAAGAATTAGTTAAAGTGGTCAGAAATGGTTTCAGATTGCACCACAGTGCATCTAGAATCCAAAAAAGATTTTAGCCCATATATGGCCCCTGGATTCACCGTTGATACTCGATAACCTTCTCTGCATCGTATCGTTTCTATTCAGATATCCAAGATCCAACCATCATGTGCCCGGCCAGTTTCAGGCAGGACACCGATATGGGGAGGGCCGATGCAGGAGTCAGCCTACCAGCCGCTACAACGAGTGACAACTCTATGATGGCCTTGACGGTCAGCCATGAACCGCCTAATCCACCAACCCTCGGTATAGGCGATAACAGGGTCACGTATACAGTCACGGACGAGGGTGGGAATACTGCGTCGTGTAATATCACGGTCACTATCGAGGGTATGTTTGTTTGTTTTCACAACTAAAACAATATTATTCAGTTCTCAAGATTTTCCTAGACACTTTTTTTTTTTTTACTTGATGGCTTTACTCACGTTTTGTAGAGTGATGTGGTCTGCGAAAAGGAATGAGGATTAAGGGTCCACAAGTATTAATAAAGATACGTGTGTGTTTATGTGTTTAATGGCACACTGCGGTATTTTCCTAGGCCCCCGAATGTTTCGAAGGCCTGAGGCACAGTGCCTACTGTGCCTGTTGGATAATCCGGGCCTGCTTACAGATTGTTCTATAAAAAGATTTGGATGTTATTGTTTCAGATAAGGAGCCACCCTCGATAACGTGTCAATCCCTCATCACGGTGCGTGCTGTGGAAGGGCAGTCCTACGGCAACATCAGTTTCTCGCCGCCCGCCGCAATGTCGGACAATTCCGGGGGAATTGTTGATGTCACCACATCACCGGCTAGCAACACCAGGCTGGTGATTGGGACGCACCAGGTCCTTTACACTGCAACTGATCCTTCAGGGAACAGTGCAATGTGTAATCTTACTGTCAACATTGTTGGTGAGTTGCACCATTCCCTTCCCTGTGCTCCCCTACCCCCTCCCCCCTCCCCCTACCCCTTACCCCCTCCCCCTACCCCCTACTCTCTCCTCCTACCCCCTAACCCCCCCCCCCCCCAAAAAGTGCTGAACTGCAGATGATCTGTCGCCTCATGGTCTGTGTATTAAACTCAAGATCTTGTGGAGAATTCAGCTGCGCGTTGGTCCAAATCTAGCCTGTGGGGTTGTGGTACGTGTGTCCTTGGGCAAGACACTTTATCCCAATTTGCTTCCCACCCATGTGTATGAGCTAACTATCCCGGGACAGTTACAGCATCGAGCCATGGAATCAGAAGACCATTGGTCAGATATTTTGAACGTCACCATACTTCTCAAGGTGTCAATCAACTATGAGGTTTTTTTTGTGGAATATGCAGTCAATAAAAATTGCCACGTATTCCAACCTGTTTGTTTCAATTTCTCAGATTTTGAAACGCCGGACTTGGCCTGTCCGGCCGATGTCAACACCACCACGCCCTCGGGAATGGCCACGACTAGCGTTACCTTCGCAGCAACGGTCATCGATAACTCGGGCGTCATCACAGCGACGTCAGACATTCCCACGGGCAGTCCATTCTCCATCGGTATGACGGTGGTGACGTTCACTGCAACGGACGACTCAGGCAACACCGTCACCTGCAATTTCACCATCACAGTCCGAGGTATGATTTCGCATCCACTGGGCAGAATTACGGTCAGACATTTGTTTATTTCTGACCGTGGATATGCTCAGTCGAATTTGTGAGGCATTCTGGCAAAATGAGACAGAACTCAGCACAGGCTGTAGCACAGAGTGAGTAAAAAAAAAGGAAACCCAAATGGCAGGACCAATTTTTGAATGAAGTTTTGCCTGTGGCACTTTTAAAATCTAGGAAATGAAAGCCCAATCAATGAGCTTTCGTTTAGTACACGAATCATTCAAATCACTCATGTACTCTTCAAGTTATGGAATTTAGAACACGAACACCGTTTTTAAGTTATGTCCACGGATCACAAAAAAGTAAGTGTTCTTTTGCAAAACGAAAACAGTTCACGTGCATCTCTATGAGAATTGTTTTTCGTTTCGCTGAAAGAACACTTACCTTTCTTTATGATCCTTGGACAGAACTTTAAAACAGTGTTTGTGTTCAAAATTCCATAACTTGGAAAGTACATAAGTGATTTGAATGACTCTTGTACTAAAAGATAGCTTAATGACTGGGCTTTCATATCCTACATTTTGAAAGTGCTATTGGTAAAACTTCATTTACAAATTGGTCCTAACATTTGGGTTTCGTTTTATTTAGTCACTCTATAGAGAAAATTGAAAAAAAAACAAATGGGGAGTGATTTATATTTGTTTGATTTTAGATTTTTTTTCATATTTGTAATCTTTAATATGTTTACTACACATGGTTTAAAGAAAAATTGTAGTTCGTGAAACCAAAATTGTTGATAACGTGGTTTTCACAAACTGACACCCACTTGCGTGTGAGTGTCAATTCGTGGTGCCGATGATGATTAACACAAACACACAAAAACAAACCTGCCAAAATATTAAGAAATAGCCCACTTGATTGTAAGTACATAATGTTACGAAACAAAAAAGAAGAAGAGGAAATTGTGTACAGGTGCGGATCCAGAGGCCCCCCCCCCCCCCCCTCTGAAACACTAGCAAAAAAATTGACAATTATAGTATAATATTACTTATTTATGTTCGCTTGTCCGCAGCACTGGTATTTGCACACTATTGTGCGACGTGTGCATGATCGTTGAATTTGAACAGCCCCCCCCCCAAAAAAATCCCACACTTTTTGATTTACGTTGACAAATGCATGTGCAACGTCGTAATTATGTCATATATTTCTAACCAAAATAGTTTGTCCGTTATCGGACGTCTTTTCAACTTGAACAAATCCAAAAAAAGAAGTTGAATTGTGGTCGGCTAGCTGAGGATTATAATACTGATGTCCGGTCATTGTTTCAACCAAATTTTAACGTCCGTTTTGATGATTTTCCCACGTAGTTGCAGCGCCAATTGTCTTGGCCTCAAGCCAAAGTTCCTGCCTTGCGCGCCAAATGGTAAAAATTGTAGTCCAAACGTATCCCACGTAAGCATACTATGCCCTGTGTGTGACACTGCATGCCAAGCGAACTGCACTGCTGCAACAGAAAAGACATGGTGGCCGAAATCGAAAATGAGCAAGTTTTGTGCGCCTTCAACAATACTATCGTCCTACATCATGTAATGTTGGCCAATGCCACTTAATTGTTGTCATGATTGTGCTCTGCGATTAACATTGGAGATCCCACCTGATCTTAACTTCAAGTCAAGATACGACATCAAGATGTGTGGGACAAGCACAAGTTTTCGATTGAACCGCTATCATCAAGATCGCACATTATGATCGGCATTTGCAATGTACCTGTCTGAAAATGGTAAGTTTCAAATGATGTTTCTGAGTTATCATGGAGGGATTTGCAATTTCTTTGAGGGCAGGGACGGCAGTCTTGAAATATATGTGTAGAATATAGGTTCCCTACAGTTCTAACATTAAAATTCATTGGAAAATACTTTAGGCCTAATTTCATTCTAGAAAGTTGTTAATGTAAGTGCTATTGTCAATTCTTATTTCAAATTCGAAGTTTACACTAACAGTGCCCTTTATTAAACATTTGACGAAGTAGACAATCCAAGCTAATCAGCTGTCCTGCATGTTCTTCCCGCTTTCCATCATCTTGTCCAAGGTTTACTTAGGCCTAAATGTAAAAAACAAATGCTGTCAATTTACCGCACATCTCAACATGAGACAAATTTCCTACACTATGTTGATTGACGAGTTTACAAGTCCCCATTATTTGAAAAATATGTTCGTATTTAAGAAAATTGACAATTTCATTCGTTTCCTTTTCCAGCTCTCTGCTTTGTTCATCTGATGGAGAAGAAACACACTACCTAAGCCCTACTACATGGCATCTTGTATCTGATACTCTCCTAAAAGTATTGCTGCTATATCTTGAAGAGGTTGGGTTTCATATGCTCAGTTTGTGCCTGCCGTCTGCTGTTGGTTTCTGCATGGGTGGTGGAGGTGGCATGGTGGTGGCAGCGGCGCCATCGCAAAGGGGGAGCCTGGTGGGGCCGACACCCCTTGGCAAGCAATTATAATAATAATAACAATAATAATAATTTGGGAGGCTAATCATCCTTACTCGCAGCTGGTATGCTGAATTGCGAAGGACGCGGCTACAACGTGGTCGGGCCGCTGGCACGTAAAGGCGCCTATGGCTGCCGGCCACATCGACCCACATATGATCACGGAGCACAGCCTGAGATCGAAAGTGTTTGATTTTTCCGGAGGGAGGAAAACCAGAGGGCCCAGAGAAAAACCGTTGTGGCACAGGAGAGAACCAACGCACAACTCTACTCACATGCGATCCGCGGCCAGGATTCGAACCATGGTCACCTTGGTGAGAGGCGAGTGCTTTACGCACAAGCCACCCATGCCACAATAAATTGATTTTACGGGGCCTACAAAAATACCGCAGTGTGCCATTAAACACATTTTACAGCATAAACAGGTCAAGGAGACAGGGCGGTAATTTGCTGGTTCACCCTTGTTGACCTTCTCATAGATACCTACAACACGAGCCTTACGCCAGTCGGATGGTAGCTCACCATATGGAAATGTTTAAGCCATTTCTTGCTTGCTATATCTCTATCTGTAAACCCACGTGCATGGCGTGAGTGGGTGATACCACTTGCGCGTGGGGGTTTAAAGCTCACGCAAGCAGGGACAACATACCGCGGGGGACAATAGCTGGTTAAAAACCATTATTTTTTCATTTTGTTTCATTTCGTTTCGTTTCGTTTCGTTTCGTTTCGTTTCGTTTCGTTTCGTTTCGTTTCGTTTCGTTTCGTTTCGTTTCGTTTCGTTTCGTTTCGTTTCGTTTCGTTTCGTTTCGTTTTGTTTCATTTTATTTCATTTCATTGCTCATTCTGGTAGTTTTGTTCTTTAATGTTTGCACTCTGTGTGTACATTAATTAACTTGAAGTTGTTTGGTTTTACAATGGACCCGAATGTACACCTTTACTTAGAACATGTTCTTCTATTGTGCCCTTGCTATAGGAATAGGATACCACATAAGTTACACTGAATTTGAGATTCCGCCTACATTCCAGCTCCAAGTCTTCTACGCAATTTTGTTTTTTCCATTACCTGTCTGAAATTAAGCAACTAAGTTCTTGTGATTTGTACCTCGGAAAAAATAACCAGTAATATGATCTTTTAGTTATTTTCAAGACTTTGTTGACTAAAAACAACTGACTGTGGGCAACATGATTTGCCAAAATATGCATGTAAGGGGTGACATATTTGCTTGGATATATCTGGCAAAACAGTTCCAACCGTGACCTGGCATTGTCCTCGAATGTTTGCAACATCAGTGAATCAAAATCTGATAAACTCGACGTATTTACCATCAGCTGCTTGAAATTCAATCCACAACTTCTTTAGGCTTGGCAGTTTATTGTATGCCAAATTTCCTAGCAAAATGTCCAAATGAAAACTTAAAATGTGAAATGAAAACTTAAAATGTTTGTTGCTTTTGCCCACTGTTGAAGACACCTTGCTTCATTGTCATGTTCTCGAAGAAGAGCAATTAAGTGACCTACAACTGGTCAGGAACAACGACAGGGGGAAACTTAAGTACGCATGCGCTTCTTGTGCTGGCAATTACGGTTCATTTTCAGTCCCACGCACACCACACACCACAAAACAGCTGACCAGTGAAGTTGCACAAAAGTCTTGCTGCCTCTTTTATACTACTGGAAGAAATGTAATGGTTTGGTCCGGAGCTACATTGAAATGTTTTGAATGCGCGCTGCATATATTAGGGCAAACATGTGCGCGCAACAGGTTTTTGGGTGATATTGGTTGGTCGTGATAATGCCCTCTCGCGGCGGTGGGTTATCGCGTATCAAACCATAACAATGTCTAGCCCCTAGACTAGAATATGTAGAGCTACATGTATCTAGGTCAGTTACCATGTTCAAAATTTGTTAAGTCTCTGCCTAAGAAAAACTCAACTTAACTCAATAATTTATAATAATTTTAAGCACAACCACCGTTTTAAAGTTCTGTCCACGGATCACAAAAAAGGTGTGTGTTCTTTCAGCACAACGAAAACAATTCATATGTGAATTGTGTTCATTTTGCTGAAAGAACACTTACTTTTTTGTGATCCGTGGACAGAACTTTAAAACGGTGGTTGTGTTTAAAATTCCGTAATTTGCAAAGTACATGAGTGATTTGAATGATTCTTGCACTAAAAGAAAGCTTATTTATTGGGCTTTCATATCCTAGATTTTGATAGTGCTACATGCAGAACTTCATTAAAAAAGTGGTCCTGACATTTGGGTTTTCTTTTTTTGACTTTTTTGTTGTCAGACTGACGTCACTATTTTGACCATTAACTAATGTTAGAAAACCTCAACGTCTACAGAACTTACACAATATACTGACCTAACTTCAACCATAAAACCCGAACATCGAAAGGACATTATTGCAACCAGTCAGATAGACGTCAAGTTTTGACCTCAAACAGACATTATAATTTGGTCATTTTTCGACGTCTAAATAACTTACACTTTCAACCATATACTGACCTAAATTCAACCAAGAATCTGACGTCGTGTCGACGTCCATTTAACCGGACAGATCATGGTCAGACTGACGTCATAATTTGACCATATACCGAATTTAGATTTTGTCAGGTTTTCAACTTCTAAAAACACTCTCAACCATGGCGGCAACCAAAAAAACAACGTCGGAGTTGGTCGGAATCTGACTTTGGAAAGACATTTAACCGACCAAAAATGCCTGCTTTGGGATGTCTGTTATAAATGCGTAGCCCTTATTAAAATTGGTCCATTTTATAAAATTACGACAAATGCAACTGATCCTATATTCCTGTTAAGACTTTCATATTCAGAGCCATTATTCTACATTTTGTCTTTCAGATGAAGAAGATCCTACCATTGTGTGCCCGGACCACTTCAGTCAAAATACCGACCACGGACGACCTAATGCCACTGTCACTTTGCCCATGGCTACAACGAGTGACAACTCTATGACTATGACGGTGACGACCAATCCATCTGGGTCACCCACCCTCGGTATCGGCACTAATCACATGGTCACGTACACGGTCACCGATGACAGCGGGAACGCTGCGTCATGTGTCGTCATGGTCTCAATTTATGGTACAGTATATGAACATTTGATCAATTTACAAGAGTTGAAAAGGCATCGCAAGTCATTTTTAAACAAGTCTTTTTTTTCTCAAGTCAACATTCCTTTGTCATTGTTCCTGCCTCTTGTGTTGCCATGTGACCTCTCTTGTGACTGACATGTTTGTATCTTTTCCCTGATTTATTGTGTGAAACTGTTATACAGGGTGTCTAAAAAAACCGAACCCTTAAAGCCCTCTCTTTTTCACAGCTTTATAAAAAAATACATTGCAAATATCTATACATATGTAAAGAGAGTAATTCATTAGCTTTTGAACAACGAAAAACTCGACTTAATATTTATGGAGTTATGGGCAGTTGAAAACGAGCGCCGTTTTTTCATTTTGTCCACCGCAACTGATATTTGGACTGTGGCAATAAAAACAATGCCGAAACTTGCATTCATGAAAAGGGAAGTCGAGGGCAGAGACAGAGCAGCACAGTAAACCTGTAAGACATTAACCAAACAGTCCTTTTCTGGACTACCATTACTTCCAAAAGGACAAATGACCATTGTGGCAAAAAAATAAGAATTAAAAAAGAACCAAATAAAGAAAGATTGAAACATTAAAGAAAACAAAACTACCCTCGCCCCAAATCAATTACATTCCTTACAAATGGCAATTGAGACCGTGAACAGATTTTAAAAAACGGCACTTATTTTTAATTGGCCATAACTCAATGAATATTTACCCAATTGGAATTATTTTTTCAATGTTGAATAGCTAATGAACTATACCCTCCAAATATGTATCAATATTTGTGATGTATTTCTTATAAAACTGTGAAAAAGAGGGAGCTCAGAGGTTCTTTTTTTAAGACACCCTCTGTCTCAAAAAAAGGGTCTTGAAAAGCAAGGACAGTTTGGAGCACTTTGAGTAGTGGACAACAGGGCTCTTTGTAAAGCTTTAAGAATTTTAGAATTTAAAATGTCTCATGCGGGAAATTCTCATTTTTGATTGGATCAGATATGGAACCTCCAAGTTTTACCCCACCGTCAAATTTTGAAGTACGGACTGATCCAGGGAAGCCTTACGCCACCGTCAGCCTTCCGTTGCCGTCCAACGTGATGGACAATTCTGGGGGAGAGGTGACTATTACCACGTCACCGGCCAATAACAGTATGCTGGCCATAGGTCCTAAGCAAGTTACATACAACGCAACAGACCCATCAGGAAACGTCTTCATGGCAACGATTACTGTCACAGTAGTAGGTGAGTAAAGGAGAACCCTTAGGATTAAATCTATTACTCAACCCTAAAAGGGCTGGGGGGGGGGGAATCGCCCCCCCCCCCCGACTTTTTCAGCGATTGGCCTTGAAATAATATTTTTTTGCAACCCAAGCTGTTATGACTTTTTAGCCTCAAGCCTTGCACATCTTTTGATACCAGAAATATAAAAATCTGACCACGGATAATTTTCCGGCGCTATGCGCAGTGAAAACTGAATTTTCCCATATACCTCGTGTACATAGGGCAGAATTACCATTCGTACAGTTGAATAAATAATTAGCCATAATTCCAAAACCCTTTAACCTATAGTCATGAAATTTCTTGGGTATGTCCATTATGAGTTGCTCTATGCATTACATAGTTTCAAAATTGTTTGTCACTCGATGGCCGAGATCTTGGGGGGGGGGGGGCTGGAATCCACCCCCCCAGTGCATTTTCAAGGACTGCATTAAAATAATTGCATTACATGTGCCCTTAAAAGGTAGCGTCCATCATTTGCAATTTGTGCATTATGTTCGTTTGAAGCAACAAAAGTGTTTAAAGAAGGATGCTGAACAACTAAAACCTGATGAAGTTTCAGCTCAGTGAATGCTGTATATTCTAAGAAAACAATATTCTAGGATCTCGATGTCAAATCAAAAGTTTTTGAGTCATGTTGTGAATTTGGCCTGAATTTAACGTCCAAGACACGTTCTGTCTGAGCTGATAGCAGCTATGCCATGTCGCGCACTGAACTGACATAATATAGAGCAATCACACGCGTGTGCATCGTGTCAACGCCTGCGCGCTTTGCCAAAATGACAACTTGACAGAAAGAATTACGTTGCAGGGAGTTTAAACCAAGTATGCTTTTCAACAATAATTATGTCAATTCCTTTTTGGATAGCTGCAAATGATGGACTGTACCTTAAACATGCATGAGTAAGTACTAAACACAACTGTTGCTTGCAGATATGGAGCCACCAGACCTGGAATGCCCGGCTGACAATATCACATCCACGGATCCAGGAGAGGCCTTTGCTACGGTGACAATCACACCCCGGACCCTGACTGATAACGACGGCAACAGACCCACCCTGATGTCCAACGCTTCAGGCAACACCTTCAACATAGGATCCACCGTCGTCACTCTGACGGCGCAAGATGTTGCTGAAAACGAGGACATGTGTTCATTTGTCATTACCGTTCAAGGTGGGGAAGACTTGTCAAACTTGATGAAAGACCCACAAATTTTTCATCGCCTTTGTATTTGTTTTTTAACCAGTTCACACCGGGATTATTTTGAAAAGAATGGAATGAGGCGCAGGATTACTTTTAACTCGACCTCAAGCCAGGCGGGTTGAAGCCATCACCCTCGGGCAGCACACTCATATTTCCGGCCTCGCTCGCGTATGCACATGTAAATCTAGCACGATGGTGGTTGAGCGCATGTGTACTGCTGTATTGTTACAAGCTACCGTAGGACTGTTGTAAATTTGGCCAATCATTTGGCTTACATGATGCTGGATCAATGGCCAAGTTCGCGCAAGGACTATAGTTGACCAATGGTTAACTAACGTTAGCCCGAACTCTGTCAAGTCGACGGTGGTTGACTACGCTAGTCAACTATTTGGAACCAGCCTACTGGGGTTGGTTGCTTCGCTGTTAACCAATAGCCGCGCGCATTCATAACGCAAGCAGAGAGCCAGGATCCAGACGTTTTGCGATGACATTTTGACCAGCGTTTGACTAGAGACGTTCGCACGTTGCTATCAGTGCACAGGCGTAAGGTACGTCACAAATCAACCACTAGTCGACTAATGGTCCTTGCCCGAACTTGGCCATAGCTGGTACAGGGGCCATTTTTTATTGCTCGTTCTCGAAGCTGGTCTTTAAATCACCATTAATACACTCCCACTTGATCAAGTCTCGACCAATCAGAAGCTATCAACTCTCTAAGGCATTTATTAATGAATTTTAATGACATAATTGTTATATTTTTCTTTTTGGTGAAGTATTGTGTTTCTATGTGTAATCATGCATTTCATAATTTTTTTATGTTTTTATTCATTTGTTCAACGTATCCAACGAAATTTCCTGATAGGGATAATAAAGTCAGTTTGAATTTGAATTTTTGATTTGTATTCACTTGCATCTTTTCTTGAATCTGGTCTACACAATGCGCCGGATTCAGCCCATCCATAAGTGTAACAGGTAATCCTATACAATTGCACTGCCCGGTTCACAGGTGACAGTGGGTCAGTTGATTGTATCGGTACGAAGATAACACTAGGCATGCCCTGTGAATTTCAGGGCACCATAAGTCATATAACACGGAGCTAACTACGAGCGAACCTTTGTACCACCACTATAAAGAAAGCCAGCTGACATTTACAATGTTCGCCAAACTCGGAACTTTTTGGATCGCATCAGAGATTTACTGAGGTCATTTTGACAATTTGGATATGATTTCATGCAGACACTGAGGATCCACTCATCATGTGCCCGGCCAACTTCAATCAGAGCACCGACGACGGGCAACCGAACGCCACGGTCCTTATCCCCGCTGCCACGACCAGCGACAACTCCTTGACACCCGTCACGGCCGTCTCTGATCCGTCAGGGTCCGTCAGCCTCGAGATCGGCAGTCACACTGTCACGTATACCGCCACGGATGCCAGTGGCAACACAGGGACGTGCAACGTGACGATCACAATCAAAGGTCAGTCAGTAGACATCGAAAACCTCGCACAATTTTTTTTCAGGAAGGGACTGAAAAAAAAACCCAGAGTTGTAGTACTTGTACTTGTACTCGAATTTCAAAGTACTCGTACTCGGGCAGCAAAGTACTCGTACTCGACATATCAAAATTGTCACTCGATCATCAAAGTATTCGTACTTGAATAGCAGTACAGAGTCAAAACAAATTTGGTCTGGTTTGACTTACCAGGCCTCAAAGAAAACAAAGTTTCCTGAGTTTCCTAGTGCACGTCCTGACAAACACATTTAACAGCTAGCAGTGAGTGGGTCTGTATATCGGTCTGACTGGGCCTGGGCCAATTACGCACAATGAACCATTTGCCGTATGACCGTATTCCGAAATAGAAGTACACATACTTGTACTCCGAATATGAGTACTAGTACTCGTACTAGTACTAGTACTAGTACTCAGAAGTACTCAGAAGTACGAGTACTCATACTTGGAGACCTGTTCTTGTACTCGGAAGTACAAGTACGTGTACTCGGTAACCTAAGTACTCGGCAGTACTCGGTACTCGGAAAAAAAGTACTCGACTACAACACTGAAAAAAAAAAATCCATATTTTAACCTGGGCTGAATTCAAAGCTGGGTACAGAGGAAGAATGTGAGGAAATACCACTGCCCAGCACGTCATTGAACTGCAGCAGAAAAGTGATTGGAAAATGGATGGTTTTGTTTATTGTAGTTATGAAAAATATGCTTAGCAACGCACAAAAGTCCAGATTTTTTTCCCCTCATAATTTCATCATTTTTGATTTGGCTAGATATGGAGCCTCCAACTTGGACCCCTCCATCAAGCTTTGAGGTACCCACCGACCCCGGGGAGCCTTTTGCCATAGTCAGTCTTCCGTTGCCAACCGACGTGATGGACAATTCCGGGGAAGAGGTTACTATCACCACGTCACCGGCCAATAACAGTAGGCTGGACATAGGAACCACTGAAGTCACGTACACTGCAACGGATCCGTCCGGAAATTGGGCCATGTTCAGTTTAAACGTCACAGTCATAGGTGAGTATAGTATTTAAACATTGACTAAGGAGATTGCCATAGTGACAGGCGTACCGGATTTTGCCACTATGAGTTAAGTAAACGCTTTTGTCGTGTAAACTGAATGTGCCGGCATCGCCGAAAACGCAAGAAATTAGCTGGCCGTTTGAGAACAGAGGTCTAGCGAATTGTTACGTTCAGATTATCAAATGATTGTTTTGTATCAAATTTTGCCACTATACTTGTAGCAAATTGAAGGCTTTCATCAGGTAGCTGCTGGCAGTTTGAGAATGAATATGCGCGCATGCGTGCATCACATAACTGGCAGGGGGGGGGGGCAGTATGGTCGGCAGTCAACATGTAAAAAAGTTGTGATGGTTCAGAACTCAGTGATAGAAATTAGATGTCATTGAGGCCATTTGGATAGGGCACTTGAGTATATGAGCAAACCCAAATATTCCCAAACTGCCCTGCAGCTGATTTCACGAAAAAGTGCGTAGCTTGCGCCATGCGTAAGACTTACGCAACAAATTTGTTTTGCAGCTGCGCAATAACTTACGATCGATTTCACATAACTTGGTGTAGCTGCGCAACGTTTTGAATAATTTCAACATCTTGGACGAGGATAATAATAGCATTGACGACGGCTGTTTGTGTGCGAATTTGTTCGTTCACGAAACAGTCTTTAGATCACCTCAGCCCGCCATTTTGAAAATTATGTTGCCCGACTTTTTTCAGAGTCGAGCGGCAACTCTAAAAATTCAGTCACGAGTAAAATAGAAATTCATTTACTTCAAGCAAGCAGCTTTGAGTGTCTTGTATGAACCTTGATAAGTTGCGCAATAACAGGGTCCACGACGGTCACGATTTGCTGGTAAAATAGGTCATTTTTAGATGCTACGCCACAACTTACACCACCTAAAATGATTGGGCAAGTTACGCCATAATTCATTGCGCAAGTCTTGGACGCAATATCAGACTTTCGTGAAAGGTGTCATAAGTGAAATGTTGCGCAGCTTTCGCAATAAGCTGTGGTGCGGAGTTGTGCCATTGCGTAAGGTTTCGTGAAATCGGCTCTGCTTGTTACTCCCTGTACAATCACAGTCTACCATAGCACTCTAGGGTTTTATTTTATTTTATAGATTCAACAAATACAATGTAATACTATGTAGTACAGAAATTCATGGGTTAATAAACTCTGTCTCTGCAGATAATGAGGATCCCGTCATCACGTGCCCTGCCAACTTCAGTCAGAGCACCGATATGGGACGTGCGGATGCCACAGTCATGCTTCCAGATGCTATGGCAACAGACAACTCGCAGGCCCCTCTGGTAAATATGACGAATCCCTCTGGCTCGCCGACCTTGGGAATCGGAAGCCACAGCGTCATGTACACAGTCACCGATCAAAGCGGGAATTCTGCATCGTGTAACATCACCGTCACCATCACAGGTACCGTCTGTTTAGTACACCTTCATGACATTTTGATTTTCCGCTCGATTCTTTGAGGAACACTCGTCTCGGCTGATCAGTGATGTTTTGACAAAATTGTCAAAAATTGTGCCAAAATTCTTCACTAATCCATGAAATACTCTCACTGTAAGCATTTTCTGCTATAGTAAGCAGGGATTTCTTGCTAATGGTAAGCCAAGCCAAGAAATAAGCTAGTTCGGTATTTCAGCTGTGCATGCGCAATGATTTGGGTCCGACGGGTCATTCGGGATAATCGACACTCATCAAAGGAGCATGAACGCTCATGCAGGGAGACGGGTGCACGACGCTCGCGTGTTAATTATAAGCCCAATGGGCGTCCGCGTAACATCAGGTATCATCACTTCAACGATTTTATCCTGAGTGTCCTTTGACATTGGGCCCTGGTTGAACTGCGGGAGGCTCAGCAGAAGGACGATGCATTGGCTTAGATCATCTCGTGGAAAGATAGCTCTGCCTAGGCCCCCTGGCAGTTCGATCGCAGGTCACAGCCAAGAGACAACATTGGGTTACTGGTAACTTTGGGATCAGCTGGAGTTAAAGCTAGGGGAAAAAGTTGCAATTTAGGAGATACGCGAGGAGAAATTTCCCAGTTTAACCATAAGTGCCCGTAATTGTCCCCATAATGACTGCACAGCGCCCATACACAGCGGGGGTTACATTTCATGTGCTTTCATGCGTGCAAGTGCTGTGTTATCGGGCAGTGTCACATTGTCCCGCAGCAATTTCTACTCGACTCGCATACTCTTTAAATTTGCAACTTTGCAAACTGCATCATTTTTCACGAACCGTTGTCAATCTTGGACAATATACAGTCTTTGGTAGCAAACAGGGTATCAAAATGTAGCTGACAAAATTCACCCTAGGTAACGTGACGTCATCACAAGACAATCAGTTTCAAAATCATGACGCCTCCAATGAGTGTGGACTTTCTTTTCTAGGGATGTTTAGAATCAAAAATGTAAAAAATAAATGATCGAATTGTAGTTCATTTTGATAGACTCATTTTGATAGACAGCCACACCGGACAACAGCAACAGAACAACTGCATCTGGACACTTTGACTTTCCAGAGGAGACAGGATTCCACATGGTGCATTTGATAGGACGATGATAGGCCGACGTGAGTTACACGCCAGAAGGCCAAGACCCAAGTGAAGGGAGTGGAATGTTCTTCCACTCAGAAGTCATGGTGCAGGGAGAAGGTGAACCTACAGGGATTTGTCACATTGACAGAGAGGAGCAACAACTGGGCAACGTGGATGATTGGACCGGCCGGACACATCGTCCACGTCCTTAGCATAGAGCTCCTGCCTGGATGCGGACTGGGAACTGTGTGCCTTGAACTGTGTTCATTAAAAACGGCGATGGCCACGTCAATCTGTGACTGTGCCATTGGGCTGCAGACCAGTGTGGACACTTTCAAGAAATTGCATTTCGCTGAATATAGCTTATATTAACTCATCACCTGCTGTATCACTGACAGTCAATTATCGCATATAATTTTGTATCCCTGTACTTTTCGAAAAATTGATCAAGTGACGTTTCTGAATACAGCGGCATGGAAACTACCTTTTGTCAATATTAATAACATTTGCATGTAACAATTAGGCACGGGATGTGCCTTTCCACTGGGGAGAGTAATTGTAACAAATTAGCTAGGTTTCTTCTTTTTGTCAGTAGCCACTTTATCGAATTTTAAGTATTTTTCTTATTTATAATGTGGAATCCATTTCATTATTTAATCTTCTATGGCCAGCCTTGCTACCCCACCCAGGTTTTGGAGTGCCTTTAGTTTTGTATCTAATCAAAGGATCTGTGGACTGTTGTCAGTACTCAATGCTTGAATTGCGTTGAGTTCATCAACATTTTATGCAAGTGCATTTTTCTTGGTATTTATTTATTTAATAGCAACCTGGGCTCCTGGCCGAGCTGACTTTGCATTTTACTATGGGCTGGCCCTTGGCATTGGTTAAATAATAGTCGCATTAATGCGACTATATTTTGTGGCGGAATTTATTTGGGGCTTGTGAAATCAAATTGAGACTGCCCAGAGAATCAATTATAGTTGATATTTTCCTGAGACCAAAGTTTCTAGTCTCGTGTTTGATTTATTTTAAGTTTGTGTCAATCCACTGGCAGGCGTGGCCGCCGTTAAGGGCTCCCCGATACAATTTTCCTGATAAAAACAAGTGCATCCCTTACCCCATTGACAACTAACCTCTAAGCACTAAACTAACAACATGTAATTCTGCACTGTTTTTCTTTGTTTGTTACAAATGTGACAAATTGAAATGAGACGAATTTGATGACATTCTTGTTTTTCATGTTGTTCAGATGATGAGGATCCACTCATCATGTGCCCGGCCAACTTCAATCAGAGCACCGACAGTGGGCAACCGAACGCCACGGTCCTTATCCCCGCTGCCACGGCCAGTGACAACTCCTTGACACCCGTCACGGCCGTCTCTGATCCGTCAGGGTCCGTCAGCCTCGAGATCGGCAGTCACACTGTCACCTATACCGCCACGGATGCTAGTGGCAACACGGAGACGTGCAACGTGACCATTGAGATCATAGGTCAGTCCAACTCTCCATTCTGACACTAGATGGCGCTGTTTATGATAGAAACTCGCATGTGTCAAGTGACAACCACATGCTGTGATTGACGTCTACTCACGACAATGTATCGTTGGTAAACTTGAAGTTTTAAATTTACACAGGAGAATTGCCAAGAAACATGTTTCAGGAAAACTGTGTTTGCAAAATTGCATTAGTTGCAAAGACAAGCAATCCATTTGTTTCTCAGTTACAATTCAACAATGTATACATCAACGGAGAAATTGAATAAGAAAAAAAAATACATTTGCAGTACTGAGTACACGAGGAACAAGTTACATGTGCTTGTCATATGATAACATTTGCATGAGTTCATTATAAACGATGACTACAACATGATATTGGCAAAAGCTATTTTATACTTAAGGTGGACATACACTCATTAATATATCCGACACAGGATAGCAGTGTTAGATCAGTATTGAAACCCAGTGGCTAGTAGCATTTGGATAATGTCCCTCTAACACTCTCCACAACTCCAACTTACGACAGCATTTGGCTAGCTAAATGTCAGAAACTTAAGCAGTGAAAATTCCCAACTTGCATAAAGTTTGATCATAGGTCATGTTAGTTCTGCTGGTAAAATGCATTTTTCGTCGCCATTTTTGACACAAACAGATATGGAGGATCCAACACTGATGCCCCCGTCAGACTTTGTTGTACCGACCGACCCAGGGAAAGCCTACGCCATTGTCAGCCTTCCATTGCCGTCTGACGTGATGGACAATTCTGGGGAAGAGGTTACTATCACCACGTCACCGGCCAATAACAGTAGGCTGGACATAGGAACCACTGAAGTCACGTACACTGCAACGGATCCGTCCGGAAATTCGGTCATGTTTGGTATTAACGTCACTGTTGTAGGTAAGTATCTGGGACCTATTTTAAATGGGTCATGAAAGAATAATTCTTCTTCCTTGCAAGTGCAGTCTTCATGTCGATGAGGATAATCGCACTGCCAGAAAAACCGGGGCAAATTCCTTCTCTTAGCGATAAATGTTACTGGGTTCTTTGACATGCATTACACAATGCATGGGACCTACGACTTTAGGTCCCATCCGAAGGATGAAGCAATAATGGTAAAGTGTCTTGCTTAAGGACACAAGTGTCAAGACCGGGACTTGAACTCACACTCTGCTGATCAGAAACACCAGAGTGATCTTAACCGCTCAGCCTTGCCACTCCAATTACGAACACATCTTGGGCAACTTTTTACATCTCTTAAATGTATGAAAACTATTTGACATCCCTTTTTGGTTAATTTTATTAAAAAGTGTACTTCTTACAAACATTAAACAATTTTCCATGCTTTTCCGGACAACTGAGGGCATTGTTGCTGTGATGTCATTTCAGGAAGACACTTTTCAGTTGAAGGGTTTTTCTGTTCAATAGTGAACCAAAAACTAGCTCATTGAAAACACTTGTTTGAAAAGTTAACTCACCAGCCTACTGTCATGTACTGACACATTGAAGAATCACCTGCAGAAAAGAAATTTTAGGACAGCAAAATATGCAAATTTCTAGCAACTTTCAGTGCTGAAATAGCTGTAACACTGAAGTTAGTGCCTGAAATGACATCGTACTTTTGCTTATGAATATGGTAACTTGCATTAGCATAAAAACCCAAAAGGCACCTAAATAACTTTCAAAGTGACAAAACGATAATTGAAAATAAGGTTAAATGGGACACAAAGGTGCATTTTCAAGGATTGCCTTAAACAAATTACATTGTATGGGCCCAGTTGTATGTGGACACAGTTTACAAATTTGTTTTTTACACCCTTCAAGACTTGAGAAAGCATCGCATCTGAGGATATTTATCGATTAAAGCATTTTTTTTTTTTTTTGCAGATTTGGAACCACCAGAACTTGTATGCCCATCAGAAAACATCACAGCCACGGATCCAGGCAAGGCCTTTGCTACGGTGACATTTGAACCCCAGACCCTGACAGACAACGATGGCAACATGCCCACCCTGACATCCGATGCTCCAAACAACACCTTCTACGTAGGGCAATCCGTCGTCACTCTGACGGCGCGAGATGGCGCTGGAAATAACAACACGTGTACATTCACAATCACTGTTAAAGGTAAGGTGGTATCTCAAAACTCAATGAAACTTGGCTCAGTGGTGCATTCATCTCACACAAACATGTCAGCACCGACCTGTCGCTGACAGCAACATTATTGTTCCTTCTTGCTTACCAATTCACAGATACTGAACCACCCGTCTTAGAATGCCCCTCCGAAGTCATAGTGTACTCCAACAATCTCACCATACCGCTGGCATTTTCAGGTAAGCCTCTATTTTTGTTCTTTTGAATCTGAAAGCTTAACCACTGCTGCATAAAAACCAGTGGAGGGAACCAATAACACACAGGCATACTGCTGGTGGGGGAGTGTGGCTTAGTGGTTGGGGTTCGTGACCCATGATCAGAGGGTCAGGGGTTCCAATCCAGCTGCTGGTCATATGTTGTGTCCTTGGGCATGCCACTTCACCCCCACTTGCCTCTCTCCACCCAGGAGTATAAATGGGTACCGGCATTAGCTGGGGAGTAACCTGTGATGGACTAGCATCCTCATTCAGGGGGAATAGAAATATTCTCAGTCGTTTCATGCTACTGAAACCGGAGATAAACGCCGGCCTGATGGGCCACATTGACTCGTGACAGACTTACTTTTTTATAATGCTGGCAAATAAAGAACGCTACTTCCTGAAAGAGCGAATTCCACTGATAAGATCAGCAATGTCCTGACTTTGTTCAAAGTGTTGAAGTCGTACTGAAGGAATCGCCATCCATTGTCATTGCAGGGGTGGCCACGTGGACTGTCAACGTGAGCGACAACTCCAAATTGCCACTGGTGAGAAACAGCACAACTCGTGAATCGGGAACACTCTTTGTCGGGAACGTCACCGTCACTCACACGGCAGTGGATACGTACAATAACACCGCACAATGCTCCTTCCCAGTCAGAGTCATCGGTAAATAAAGTTTGTTTATTTCTTTGTTTGCACGTGTTCTCTTCGGGTATACTTAAACATCACAGTGATGAAATTAAGAGGATAAGCGCTCAATTGTATTCCCTGTGCAAAAACAATGTATAGGCTTGTGCACATGGGCTTTGCCAGGATTATTTTTCGAGAGGGGTGCAGAGCACATTATTTCTCAAAATCCTTATACTTTCTCTAGCATATTCTCAATTTATCATTTTTCGAGGGTGGTCAGGGGACATTTGCCCACCCTGACCCCGTTGACACCCCTGCGAACGCCCATGTTGTTATTAAAATGTGCATTGAATTAACAGCAATATGACTTTGCACCTCGTCTCCTTTTTTTTTCTTTCTTTTTCCCCCCTCTTTTTTTTTTTTGGTTGTGCTTGCCCCCCCCCCCCATGATGCCCATGCTTGTGCACCTTCTATAGAAAATTGGGACTTTGAAATAAATGCGATCATTAAATTGTCTGCAACTTTTTTGTGGTGGTTTTTCTCAATTGCAGGATTGTATAATGTCATGTGCAGCTCATCTGTCGATCTGGATTTAGGAGAGTTGATAGGAACAGGAGCTGTGTACCATGTCATGTCCCCCGCCTACGACAAGGGTGATCCCTACCCGCCCATGAGCAATTGTGTCGTGCGCGTGTCGGCCCCAGCTGGCAGCCACATACGCATGAGCTTCTCTACATTTGAGACCGAATCCGAGAGAGACATCTTAACGGTTGGGAGTGGCCTAGACGACACAGCTGAGAACACCACTCTGGCCTCATTTTCTGGTGAAAGTATACCACGGCTGGACGATGGCTCGATTCACATTAAGGATCGTGTCTATGGAGACTCCATCTGGCTACGTTTTGAGTCGGATGACACCTTTGACTCGATGTTGACTGGCTTTTTACTGCAATTGGATTTCATCGACAATCCACGTATGCATAATCCTAAACCTGACCAAACCATTGGTTTCCATCCACCCCTCCCCCCCCCCCCCCCCCCCCGCCCATGACATTAATTTTGCCTTTTTGTTGTTGCTGATAAAATGAAAGTGTCATCACCTGACGAACCCTTCTATGTAGTATTGTCCCTCTTTTACTCCACTTTATCCCTCCTTCTATTTATTAAAAGGGGACCACTTTCTCAGAACAATTGCCTATTTAACCCCCCCCCCCAAAAAAGTAAAAAAAACCCAAAAAACTTGGGCATGTTTCATGTACAGTAGAATGCCACTATAACAAATACGTCAGGGTCAATAAGAAATGTTCCTTATTGTGGCAAGGGCGGATCCAGGAATGTTTGCAGGGGGGGGGGGCATTTCAGGCCCGTCAGATTGTTTTATGTCCGATTGGTGCAGACAGGCATACATATTGGTAATTATTATCATTGCTATAATATTGTTATAATTGTTTTTGGTTTTCGTGAATGGGGGGGGGGGGTTCGACTCCCAAAACCTCTCCTGTGGATCCACCCCTGGGTGGTCATTCATTATATGTTCATTATAGCGGCGTTTCACTGTACTTGACTCAACCCAACTAAATGAGGCTGAAGTCACCAAAGCTTCAGTCACAAGCCTATAACAAATCTTGTACAGCCAAAATCTATCAATTATTTTGAATTGAGATAATAGTATCAAAATTAAAGGTAGCATCCATCATTTCTACTTTCTGCATTATGTTCCTGTGAAGCAACAAAAAGCAACTAACCTGATGGAGTTTCAGCTCGTCAGTGAATGCTGTCTATTCTGAGAAAACAATTTTCTAGGATCTCGATGTCAAATCAAGTCATGTTTTGAATTGGGCCTGAATTCTCACTGAGCCGATTGCAGCTACGCGACGGTCGTGCACTGAACCGACAAATTATAGCAACCGCACGTGCTTCGCCAAATAAAAAAAAACCAACTACTAACGGAAATTTCCAATGATGCATCTTTAGACGCATCGTTGGAAAGGCCTTCTTTCATTGATTTCTTCAAAATGACAGCATGCCAGAAAGAATAATTTCACAGGGAGTTTAGTCCCACTGCTATCTTTAAACCAAGTAAGCTTTCCAACAATAATTACTTCGGTTACGTTTTCGATAGCTGCAAATGATGGACTGTACATTTAGGTACTGAGTGTGCTCTTTCTAATGTGTATGAAAACTAATAAGCTAAAAATGTTCATAACACTCAATCTATGGGAATTGCATGGGCACAAATTTGAGTCCATTCCTGTCCCTTAAAGATAGAGTAGATCGTAGTCAGCTATCCAAAAGTAATGGACGGAATTACTGTTGAAAAGGTTGCTTGGTTTATAGATGGGGATGGCAACAAACTCCCTGTGGAGTCTTTCTGACATGGTGTCATTTTGAATAAACAAAATAAAAGAGGGCCATTTCCAAACATATGTCAAGTGACACATTTTTGGAAATGTTCATTACTAATTGGTTTGTTATTTGGTGAATTCGTGAATGGGTGTGCGCATGTGTTGATGCAACGTAGTACTCGAGTACGAGTACCGAGTACGAGTACTACAACACTGCTAAAACCTCATCAGGTTAGTTGTTAAGCACCCGATTTTGAGCACTTGACAAATGACTCATGATCTACCCTACCTTTAAACAACAAGGATACGCTCAAGGCAATAAGGCACAGAAAACTACATAGCCGATGATTGGGAACTAGTGGGAAAAGCGTATTCCTTGAGAATGTGACTTCAGTTTGAAATACTGTGATTGTGATCCTTCCTTTGAGTTTGTTTCTGTGCTTGGTTGTACTAGGTGACTTGTATCCGGACTCCTATTCATTCTGTGCGGACTTTGGCGGTTTCCCCTGTCTGAATGGGTCGTGTATAGACATCTCCCAGCGATGTGACGGCAACAACAACGATTGCTCCAACAATGAAGATGAAACTGACTGCCCACAAGGTAGGATGGGAAACCCTAAAATGTTTGCCTTTTATAAAAAAGGAATCGGTGGATTTTTATGTTTTGGGTATCAAATTAAAGCTGAGAGCTTTTTCTTTCAAATACTGAAAAAAAATTCATGAAAATAGCACTTTGGGTTGCTGAGAAATTCCAAATTATGTAAAAGTAGTCGTCATTGGGCTGCCTGAATCATTCTTTAATGGCGTAAACGCACACGGATTTTTCATAAATTTAATACACAACTCTTTCAACATTGGGTTAGCGGTTACCACTTTGTGGGGAGGTATTTTATTATAAGGGAAATTAGGATCGAGATGGGGGACTTTCTACTGTTCCTACAGCATCATAGTCTATGTAATAGACCATGGTGAAAGCCATGGTCTATATAACAGATGATTAATAATTTGAGCAGATTCACTGATAAATTATGCAAGACAACGGCATCTTGACCTCTAGATTTTGACCAATCATTTCTATATCGGGTCTTCGGTCATTCACCGTTGTCGTGTCATAGACATGGATAAAAAAAAATACCCAAGACACAGCAACAAAGGCTGTCGTACGTGCCCGGCTGTTTTTGTATTACAAAACACTGCATTTGAATTGACCAATCAAATGTTTAGTCCTGATTTGGGAATGAAATGACATCACGATTGAGTAAAGTCGACTCTGATTGGCGGAGGCGCGAGATCGCATAAATCTGAATGCTTGGACATATCAGATGTTATACAGGGGACTTGGCTCCGTGGATAACGGGTGACACTCGGACTAACAGCATCTTTGGTCTTCGAAATAGCTATCGTTCATCAGGTGTGTGGTCCCCGCCCACAACTACATTACACTTGACGCTCATTGCTTCCCCCCACCTAGGAGTACATAAGTTCCTGTGAAGCCAGATGAGGTTGTGGTTGATCTATAAATCAATGAAACACTCTCAACTTGTTTCCTACTTTTTTTCCCCTCTTGAAATGCAAACCAGCTTGCAACTCAATGTTATCAGAGGATGTCTTCTTCACGCTGAATGGTGTCAGCCATATTAACATCGTTTCTAATTACTACCCAGGGGAGTACCGGCCGTGTAATGCAACCTGGAATATCGATTCTACTGATGTCGCGGTAAGTGCTGCTACCACAACCATCCTGTTGTCAAATTTCTCTTGAATATCACAGACAGTTTAGACAGCCTGCCATTTTTAAATTCTTTGACAGGTTTTTCGGGATTTTTTTGTCTCGGAATCTCAGGCAGGACCTTGTGAGTTACTTTTTGTACATTTTTTTTTCTTTCCAAAATGCATTTTGCTTGCCTCGTCAGTCCCTTCGCGTTGTTGTCATGGATATTCAAATCGGCACCGGTGACAGGCTGTACGTTATCAACCGGGATACGGGGGACCAGGTGACTCCCGACATCGACTCACCAATCAGCTTGCACGTGACCGGGGGCTCTAACTTTGCTGTGGTTTTCAAAAGCGGGGGTGAGGTGGGGCGTGGCTTTTGGATCCGAGTGTGGCGACACATAGGTATCGGTGCTAGTGGTAAGTTTAGTTGAATACGCTGTCCACTTCATAACTTTACCAAAATACATATCTTCTGCTGGTATATTAGATAATCTTTCCAAGTCAATTGAGTCCGTTAAGAGACGCCAAAATCACTTGTATGATCTTGCATATGGAAAGCCAGCAAGTGTATCTAATTTGCCAAGGCACATATTTATGTCCTAAGCACACATGCTCTTGAAACATAAAGTGATGGTTTGTCTGTTAAGAGGTTTAGTTTTTGTTTTGTTTTTTGCAGCTATGGTCGATTTCCCTGCATCTTGCGAGTTAGATTTGCATGGAGTTCAGTGTGGCACTGGCACCTGTGTAGCCGGCGGTGATAGATGTAATGGCAACCGTGACTGTACAAGATTTGGCAACGACGAGCACTTATGTGACCAGAGTGCAGGTACAATGTTGCACAGTCTTCAATGTTGTCTGGGGGGGGGGGGGGGGGGGACAAATTTGGATAAAAATTTCTGTCTCAATCCTCTTTCAAATGTCCAGACTATTTCATGAATTTTTCTTCATCATCCCCCACAACTAGCAGGCCATGGCCGGCCCACTATTTTGTTGTCCAGCTTTAGTATTGATAATTATATAACCGACATACAGATCCTTGTCATTTGATTGGTGGAACTCACATCATGTGTCATTCGTTATTACTGCCATTCACCCCGGAGCTCAAAAAGTACTATCCGCCCATGGGGAATGGGAAATACTATTGAACAGTTAGGATCAGTCTTGTTCCATGACGCGGTATTTGTGTGCAAATGCATGCTGGTGTACGCGTTCAGCGTTGCACGTAGCGCGTATTGTTCCAAAGAGCCAGCGCTACAGGGCTAGTGAAGGGATGGTTGGGAAGAGAGAAATACATTTTTTTCACCAATTTTGTATTGAAATAAAAGTTCAAATATATCAAACGACAAGGATCTATATGTCAATTATATCAAACAAATATTGAGTGACTTTAAATTGTGAAATGGGAGGAATATTATCGCTCGGTAAAATCTGGACTTTTTCCAGTTCACTCGACTTTGCCTCGTGAAATGGAAAAGTCAAGATTTTACCTTGCGATAATATTCCTCCCATTCCATGCTGATCCACTCAATATTTGTATACATTGTACTGTCACAATGAATTTCAACCGTGGTGGGGACTCCCCACATGGTTCGCACAATGCAGTGCACAAACGCATTTTGCCTTGAGTTTGTTGCATAGTCAACCTTTAAATCCGATTGGATTAATTTTGATTTATTTTGTCTGTCATCAGATTGTGGCAGTCTCGCGATTAGTCTTGATGGTCCAGGCAGCACGTACCACCTGACATCATTATACTACCCAGCGCACTACGTGATTAACATCGACTGCCTATACATTGTCACCACAACTGCCAGCAAGATTCACGTCAGTTTCCGTGACTTGGAGATCTCTACCAAAGGTTTGTCAGCAGACTATCTGCGCATCGGTAACGGGGCTACTGTTAACGTTGGGACAATCATAAGCGTGAATAATGCCTTTCTGCCAGAGGACGTCAAGTCCTCCGGCAACCAGATTTGGATCAAGTTTTTCAGTGGTGTTAGCGTTACTGCTCGGGGTTTTTGGATCGCTCTCGTGGCGGAGTAGTTCCTCTGATGTTGTGATCCGCACACTGATGTACATTTCAAGGGTCTCATATCCAGTTACTCCACACATACAAACAAAGAACAAAACAGTTTAAAAACAATAGGAATTCTTACTGCGGGATTGTAAAACACCATTTTTATGTCGCCTAACAAAGTTTTGGGGGCCTCTTACCAGTCCTATGTTCTGTATCCCCATATGACCGTACTTACCAGAGCTAAATTGTGGGGTACTGCACACAAAGGGAACAAGGGTGCCGAATTGTACCCCACTATTTTTCCTTTGAAAAATAGTACCCCAGAAGTGAATTCTAAAGAAAAGGGATAAAAAGGACAACAATGCAAGTACCCCAGAACTCCAGTCTGCTGGGATGGCCGTTTGTATTGTTACGTACAGTTTAGCTAGGTTAAGTTTTTGAAAAATATGGATTACTTCTACATGCTTTCATATATTTTGATGAAACTTGGATGCAGTGACCCTTGGATGGGAAGACACAATTCTTCATCGGATTACTGAGGTCAAAGGTCATGTAGAGGTCATTAGAGGTCATTGTTCACATGTGCTTCAATTGTTCCTTTGTCAAGAGAATTTGATGCATTTTCAATGTCACTTGGATTGAGTGATCCTTGGGTGTGGGTTCATGGCAACTCTTCCAAAATCGGGAGTCAAAGGTCATCTAGGGGTCATTTGAGGTCATTGTTTAAAAATGCACGGAATTTGACCTCTTTTTTAAGAACACAAAACATATAGGGATCAACCGCAAAAAAAAGGTGACACGTGCGATCCATGGATCACTTGTTGAAAAAGACAAAATATATCGGCCAAATACTGACTCTTGGGAATACTTTTTTACCGTAACTTCATATTTTCCAACACTCCAAGGTCCTGCCCTGGGGCAAAATATTTGCTACGACGACAGGCCTTGTACGGCTAAGTTCAACACACACTGTGTGTACAAAAACAAAGGGAGCCACTGACGTGTGTGTGACTTCCACCACTGCAGAATCAGGGAAAGTTTGAAGATTTAACCTGTCGCCCGCCCCTGTGAATATACATTGCCAGAAAGTGTTAACTTGTCCTCCTATGTTAACTGGTTACAAAAAAAAGGATAAAATCACTTGGAGCAAAGATATGATAGAGTTAACACAACAGAGGATCATTTGTAATTATGTTGAAAAGTACCAACCAATTTCAAGACAGAAATCCTGCTCAAATTAAAGATAGAACAGGTATATCATCAACCCTGGGAAAAAATGTATATAAATTTTCTCTGTTTTCTAAAATAAATATATAAAAATACAGCATCTGCTGAGCTGAAACTTGAAACAGGTTTAGTTCACTCAGATTTTGATCAATTTTGTTGCTTTCATCATATCTTTTAGATAATTATAAGATCAGAAATATTTCAATTACAGAAATATCAGCTATATTATCACATACAGATTATTTTACTCTGTCGAAATGACTAAATGCTGGTGGAGGTTTCAGGTCACATTTGCAACAACTCTGCGGATTTGTAAATGCAGAATGGTTTAAGCGTGTAAATGTTAGTGAGCAAAATGGTGAGTGGTGCACAAAAGGTTCATTGCAATATACCTATAGTCATACTTCATTTGTTGTATTTACTTATATGTTATTAAAAAAGATATGAAAATTATATTCAGTGGTTCTTTCCTAAATGTGGGATAAGTTTTTTAAAAATATTGAAACTTGGTATTTTAATGACATTAGCTTTTCGCTGCATTATTAATCTAGAGTTTCTTAAAAAGGTGCATCATATATGTAGGAGGTAATGTGAATACACAAATACCCGGTTTAAAAAAAAATTATAACTAGATGAACTTAAAAGTTCCTGTTAGCCTAAAACTGTTTACTTTCAAACATCTAGAATTAGATGAGTCTACACTCTATATAATTGTACACTTGTATGAATTGCTTTTTATGTAAATTGTTAACTGGATGTATATGTTAAAATGGATATTCGCAAAACAGAAATCAAATTTGCAAAGAAAGCTAAGATGTTTACATTTCTTTATTTGACGACAGTAATAGACGACCTTCATTATTTTAAAGTATCATTTTCCACCTCATAATTATAGTTAGTAATATTATCCATATATTCTTAGTCTTTATGTTTTGTACACTTGTTAAAGACGTCAAGTCGGTGCTGCTTTCAACTTTTACCCCAAAATATAGATTATATTTGTGAATCGCTATTTTTCCTAGCAATGCACAACTTCACTTTTCAGCCACCGTTCAGTTACGGAGTCAGCACCTCAAAAATTTCAAATTATAGGACTGGCAATGGGCTTTATTCACGAGTCGGCCATATTGAATTACAAGCGAGGTTAAATCTTCATTTTTGGAACTTGCGAAGAGAAATGAAAGCAATGACATAAAGTATGTTACAAGTTAATACCAGTCTGCTCTGATGAATAATTTAAAATTTCTGATTAAACATACCCTAATACTTTGAGCCACAGTTTAAAAAGAAATGAAAGTGAGGCTACAACAGTCTGGCACCATCCCATTCAACAGTTCACAGTAAAATGCATTCCGGGAACAAGACAAAAATGGCTTCCTCATGAATATTGGGTCCATAATCAAGTTGTTACATGGTAGACTGGTTTCCGTCTCCTTTTAGAATGGATAATGTGGGGTTCTGACACCAGTCTACTAGCAGAATAAAGTTTAGTATTTTCAGAGGGCTGCACTAGCAGACATGGTCATTTCATTAAAATGAAACATACAAGTTAAATTTCGCTAGGGAATAACAAAAATTGCATTTATTGAAAAGCACAAAGGCCTTAAGCAGCTTCCTTGCAAAAAAAAAGATGTTAAGGTTCAGGTGCTGATATCAGGCACTGAAATATTAGACGTAAATTGGGTAATTAATGCTCATCAGTATAATTGTACAAAGATTTAAGGCTATACATGTATATCGTAGGGTAGTGATATGTTAATGGTTTAGGGTAATGATATGTTAATGGTTTAGGGTGAAAATGGCAGTAAGTGTTGGTACCGTGGTTATGAGAAATAAAGACTATTAAGGAGAAAAGTTTCCTGGTATTTGTTGAATGAATGACTTATTTACATGATTCAATTTTTTTACATTCTGGATGGCTTTCACATTAGTTTTTACCAAGTTGTAAAGACTTAATGGAATATGAAAAGTATGGACATAAAAAACGTGCACAGAAAATATCAATCATATATATATGTCTAGTGCTAAAAAAGGATTGAAATTGTATTCCACAAAGATATTCTGTAATTAAAATTGAACAATGAACCATCTTAAGCCCAGTTCATACTTCATGCGAATGCGAAGCAAATTTGGCATCACAAAACGTTTGCTGCGAAAGTCGTCCCCCGAATTGAAATATGTTCAACTTTTACAAATTCCCAGCGCGAATACTCACCACGACGTCAAAAGCGTTTGCTTTCGCGCCAAGTATGAACAAGGCTTAAAGAGTTCACACCTTTTTAAGTGCCAGGAATAACATGAAAAAAAAAAGCAAGGCGTTTTGGCAAAATCAGACGGAACTAGGCAGAGGTCGAAATGAGGCTCTGCAGGCTTTAGGAAAAAGAATAAAATACTCCCGACAACGTTTGTTGCACTCCAATTGGACTTTCTGTTAACAATATGGCTGTTTAAAGTTCACATTTATCGACACGTTAAAAAAGTAAAATACTGAGAAAAAAGGTCTTTAAAGTTTGAGGTCGGTAGTCGTGACAATGAAAGCTGCGAATTGTTTTTTCTTAAAAAATGAATTCATTCCACGATTGTTACAGTATTTCTTTAAAATATGTGCAGCAGACATATCAAAGGTTACAAATATCAATGAATGTGAAATCGAAAAAAAAACTCATCCCATTAATTTTTTTCTTCATTCATTCTCCACTACCAAGCTCTGTCTCATTTTGCCAGAACGCCTCAGCACAGCACAAAAGGAAGGCATTTTGATTCATTTAAGTTTACATTTGGCACTTGTCTTCAAACAATCTGATAGTAAAGATATCCGCCACAAAACATTTCAATGTAACATTCATTGCACCTATGTTTTATGGATGCCGATACCTCTGTAAGATTGCATCGAGCACATTTATTTGTCTTAAGAAAATTCATACTTCATTTATTTATTATCCATACTTTATTTATTTATTATCCACATCCAACAGCAGAAAAAACAGCCAATTACATGACTAGTAACCTATTACTAGAATGGAGCAACACTTAAGTAATATCTCACATTTGATGCAAATGTAAAAATCACTGTATTTGTACTTCATAGTCCCAGTAACAAACATTTGGTTTTTGGTTCAATTTGCTTAAAAGGAACCCCATTTTTTTTAAGTGTAGTCAAACGGCTCACACTATGAACACTGTGGAATTCCAATGTAGATTTTGTATGTACAAACAGATGTTTTTCTATCTTCAAGCAAACTTGAATCCTTAATGCTGATTGGTCAATCCCATAGCAACAACAGTGATGTCCCATAATGCATACAGTGTCATTTCATGGTGATTATGATATCCCGCACATCACTTTTTTTTAAATTAGATGTGTTGCAATGGCGGGTATTTTACCTATTTCCTTCATAAAAAAAACCCCCAAAGTAGATACCGGAAAATCAGTTTTAACCCTTACCCTACTAGACCCTCCAACGCATGCCAATATGTGCCTCAAGAAAATCTCCTATGTTTTTTGCATGGCCCTCCAATATCTGCCATGTCATTTCAAGGGTAACTGGACAGGCACTCCAATACATGCCACAGAGAACAATGAGAGTCCTCTGATAACAAAGTGAGTGCCCCCAGCTGGTCAGTATCAGGCACCCTCCAGGGCCTCCAACTCCTACCAATTGGAGCCTTCACTGTTAAATAAAACTATCTGCCAATAAACTGCAGCTGGAGGGCATTGGCATAACCAACTGACATGCAGTAAACTACCCTCAGAGAGTATAAGGGTTAATACACGTACTTACATTTGCAGGCAAATTTGACATCTCACTGTAATATTTACACAATGATGTGATCATTCACAAAATATGACGAGTAATAATATACAGTTGTTGACTGCTGTGATGTGGGATATGCTGTTTTAACCCCGTTTAGGCACATACACGTAGCACCCAACAGCAGTCAACAGTTGTATTGTTATACCATGCCCATAACTCAAAACGATAAATAGTTGTAATGCTAGGTTCACACTTTACGATTTTTAAGCCGAATCGCCACGAGTAGCAATTCTTGAGTCAATCAGGGAATGGTTCTTGGCTGCCCCCAACAATTTTGGACATATTAGTCAATATTTACAAATCAATTAGATTTGTAAATACAATGCAGATTACAGTACTAGAAGTTACTATTAATATTTGTATTAATGTGGGACTCAATATCAGTCTATAACAATGAAGTCCATGCATGTTTTAAAAGTGAACTAGTAAATACAGACTGCATTTAAGACTACTGTAAAATAAAATTGAACTTAAACACTTACAATTCTGTGTATATGGAAAATCAAACAAGATTTGTGTTTATCAAAAAAAACTGGAATTACCATGGCAAAATTCAAGGTAAAAAAAGGCATGCAATAATAAATATGGTACAGTAAAATGTCGCCTTAACGAGCACCGCTATGATGAACGTTTGGTTACAACGAACATCCCCTTTGGCACCCGAAATATTAAATTAGCATGCACAATCACTATATTAACACACGACCACTATAGCGAACATTTTTATACAGATCCCATTGTGTTCATTGTAGTTGCGTTCTACTGTAGTATTAAACATTGACAAATTATTATTTCAGCCTAAATAACAATGTCCCGACGTTTGGAATTAAGATGAGTTGCTATTTAAAAAAAAAAGCCGCCTCCCCTTAATAAATGAACAAGCTTTCTCAATTAAAGGCGGTATAAAATTCCAAGCACAACTGAAAAAAATCATTGCGCAACATCAAAACGCTATCAATTTCTCCATTTCTGCTGCAGTTTCTTATTCTGAAATTACTTAACTATTTCAGGCAGCATTTCAAATTATCAACACCTTTCAAATATTTCCGATGATTTTTTTTTTTTTTATCACTTTATAATCACTACAGGCTCCAAGCGCCAACAAGAGAGGTGTTTTTTTTTACCACATTCTAGAACCCAGGATGGGATCGCGTACGCCATCCGTGCACAAATGGCGCCAAGTGCGCACGTATGACGCTAAATTGCCATATGGCGCCAAGTACGCACATTGTCTTATTCTGAATGTGCAAAAGTCATAGCGTCTTCGTGCAAACGTCGGCATCTCGTGCGTCGTCTGCGATGCATTCAAATGTCTCCCCAAACTCTCCCGTCCTTACCGTTGAGGGGGTACTTATGCACGAAGCCCATACACTGTTTAATCAATTTTCAAATGTCACGCCAACGTCCCTTTTTACATGGATGTCCGTCCTTCTAATACAGGGATTTCCTGCTTTTTAGAAAATTGCAGATGGCATTTCCACTGCCGTATATTTTTCTTTTATTCCTAAAATTTGCTGCAAAATTTTTTAAAGCGAACTTGGATCCCCATCTTTAGGTTAAATAGATACCAGAGACTTTTATTACTTGGAAATCTTGACAGTCCTATTCTAGAGTTTATTTGAAATAGCCCTAAATATGGTCAGTTTTTTTTCATTTGCACCAATCTCAACTTATTAATGGCGTCCTCTCAGAATGTTGAGCTACAGGGCCGTTGGGGTTGATTGGGACCACTTGGGGGTTCTGGTGGGCCACGTTGGGCTGGTATGGGGCCTGTAGTCCAGGATGAGCAGCCTACGGGGCAAAAAAATGGTGAAAATTCATTACAAAATGAATCTTAATAACTAAAGTAATTTTCCCATAAGCATTTCATAAAAGTGCATTTCGTGTCATTTGCCTGTATTACAGTATACGCTTTGGGTCTAAAGGCAAAAGGTGCACGCACAAACCGAAAATATGCTGAAGGAAAGGCAGCTTTAAATGAATATTCATCATTCATTGTTTACATAAATGGTATTCGCTAATGCGTTTGGAAGCCTCGTAAACTAAAACAAACTCATTCCGAGAACAAAACATCAAACTAGAGGAGGCACACATTGAAGCACATCGGAAATGGCTAGGCTTGCTTTGTCTAACTGGACCTGAAAGTAAAGTTTAGGACATTATTTATACTCGAAGACTCGGTGACTCAATCAGTCAGTGATTCAGTCGGTCAGGGAGTCGGTCAATCAGTCCTTCGGTCAGTCCCTCAAAATCAAGACCCCAAGCTAAGGCACAACCAAAAAAAGCACAAATAATGCATACATTCACCGAGTCTGTGGGTTTCTTGCTGGGTTTCATAATCCACATGATGGTCAGCACCAACGTCGATATGGCCACCATCAAAATACCCAGACCCAGCACGCCCCACTTGGCGATGGTCGTGTAGAGGATGGGGTTCTCCACTTGTTCTATGAGTTGGTCAGCTCCGCTTTGGGTTACCAGTGCACTCTGTGGTCAAAGACAAAATTCAGTCCTTGTATCAGAACTGATCTCCCATGGGTCCCAGGAGTATTAATACAATAAAACACGATTTGAACATTCAAATTGATAAAATCAAATTGTAAGTACATGTATGCATATTCTCATTGCACAGTATGAAACCAATGTCATTTTAAAAACGGCAACCATAAAAATTGCTTTAAATTTAGCATTCAAAATTGTACATAAAAACTAGCCGAAAATAAACATAAGCATTAAAAGTCATTTCATCTAGCAGTAAGTGCCCAACAATAGGCACATTATTCAATCCCTCAGATATCATTATTGTACATTTGATGATCAAATTTCAAAAAAATCAATTTAACAACATCTAGTTTGTGGCTGAATTGAGTTTAAAACTACAAAGGGGTCGTGGTATAAAAGAAACTATACTACTAATATACTTCTTTATTTCTCAGGAAACATCAACAAATACATGTACACAGATGAAATGTTAAGGATAACATGTTCCATAAAGTTATCTTACCTCATTTAGCCAGATGACTGGTAGGTAAAACTTGGACAGATTTTTGAGGTACCTATGGAGAGATTAACATACATATGATAGCATGCACTTCCCTTAACTAAGAAATGAGTCCATATATATGAAAGGGTGCAAATTGTTCATAAAATGAGAGGGTGCAATCTTAAGGTAATTTTGGAAACCACGGCTTCGTCTCAAGTTCAGTGGACCCATCTTCTGGAACATTAAAGGCTCTTACTTCTAAAGTAGGAAATGAAACCGAAGCCAGAGACAAAACCGTAATTTCACAAACCCCATTTTATGGTTAGGTTCAATTTGCGGTATGGTTAGGTTCAATGAAGAATAAAATCAACAAAACACACTTGAGATCCGGATATGGTTGCATGTGAATGTTAATCTGCAGTCTCTTGGCAACATTCAGAGGCCCCCCAGTCATCTGAAAAAAAAAAACACAGAAAAAAATAGCTAACTATCGACTGAAAAGGAATTGAGAACTTTTGTACGAAAAAATGAACTTTCATTCTGTACGGAAATGAAAATTCCTGCGTTTTTTTAAGATAAAGTTCCTTGTATTAAACTAACAGATTTTATTTATTTACTAGTCCATTATGAAAACAGAAAGATAAAGTTGATACAAAAAAACCATGTTCAAACCCTCTTAAGGTACAAGAAAACTTCAAGGAAACTATGTCAAAATGTAATGATTGAAACATGGTGATTTTATCATTTGTAAATGTTCTCTCATTCATACTGGCACGACTTCGGGGGAAAAATTCCCTTCTAGCCCCTCACGCTGCCACCATTTCAGTCATGTTCCCTGTATCCAATAACAGTACTGAACGATAACGCAAAAAGGAGCCAGACTACTTTTCCTTCTAGCCTCGCCAAGGTTACGTTGATTTGAATGGAAAAAAAAACTAGGATGGCCGCAACATGATAATGGTCTATTACTTTCCATGGGCACTTAGCGGCGAGGTGGATCGAAGGGAGTTAAACTCACCGGTTCGATGTCAAAGAAAGTCTGGTGTTCTTCCTGGTTTGGTACGACCCCGTGCACCAGGTCAATGACCTTTTCCTTGTCACAGTACAAGAAGTGGGGTAGTGACATCACAATAGGGGCATCTGCAAGCGACCAATCAGAACAGAACAATTCAGACACAGTGACAGAAGGCGAGTGAGTGGTGTACAGGAGCTCATTCAATCCACTGGAGAGAGACACTATTGAGATAAAGTGCGCTGCTCAAGGACACAAAACCTTTATATCCCAAATAAGGTTTTAACTCACACATAGCCCATGTGCTTGACAGAATCACTCTGATTGAAACTGCATCAACTGGGACCCACTGTAAAACTGTAACCATTTCTGGCCGAACAGAAGAAAATTGAGTAAACTAATATTCAAAATTGCCCTTTCTAATATAACAAACTGAGATTGTGGGGTGCTGTGGTCCAATGTTACGGTGTTTGACTTGAGTGCCTTGGTACATGGGTTCGAATCTTGACGGGGGACACAGTGCTTGTGCTCTTGAGCAAGGCACTTTACCATTATTGCTTCGTCCTTCGGATGGGACGTAAAGCCGTAGGTCCCGTGTGTTGTGTAATGCACGTTAAAGAACCCAGTAACACTTGTCGCTAAGAGAAGGGATTTGCCCCGGTGTTTCTGGCAGTGGCTGCAATATGTGCCGCAGCACCTTGTAAACCCCTATAAGGTGCTACATAATGGGTCTCATATTTCTCATAAACTTCATTTACCTGTCTTAAAAAAGACATAATTACCAGTGCCTTGAGTACCTAATTGCTGGCAGATATGTGCGCTATAAGACTCTGGTGTTATTATTATCATTATTATATCTAGCCCGATGTTGGTCTTCCCAGTTTGTCAATGTCTATAAATCTACATCTCCAATGTTGTAAGCCTGGGAACGGCAGAAAACACAAATTGAGATCACTTTTTTTAATCTGTGTATGTGTCAAAAAGAACCTGGCAAGACTCACTGTGTTGACAGTTGCTGATGTTGAGCAGGCCGCTCGGCAGACAGAACTCCGGGCTTGGCGTGCAAAAGCCAGCATTGCTGGGGTTCTCCGTAGCGTTTGCGAAGGCCGACGGCGGGCCGACGTATCTCCACGTGGGGATGTCGCGCACACTTGTTTCCTCGTCAAAAACGGCGTTGATGGATCTTTGGATTAAAATAAACAGTGGAAATACGAAGAATTTAATTTTGAGGTTGACAAGGAAGGTTTCACACAAAATTTGCAATTTCATGATGTTTGACTTTTGCCTGTAAATGTCTACAGTCCATAATTGAGAAAAAAAGAACCTAAACACATCTTCTAAGGGCTTACCTGCATATGTCCGAGGAAAACACATACATCATCTTCTTCTTATCGAAAAAAGGTGCGTTGTAAGATCCATCTGCAGAGAACAATGACAATGAAATGCTTGAGAAAAACAGTGGGTTGGGGGGGGGGCAAAATTTAACTACTAATCAACAATCAAGGCTTAATAATTACAAACAAAAACAAAAACAACAAAAAAGTTGGTTATGGCCAGAAATGGTTGGGAATATTTGATTTGTTGTGGGTAGTAACACAAACATATTTCCCGCTTCAACAGAAATCTTGGTGAACATGTTGAATTTATCGCGTGTGGCTTCTGTTGCATGTCACACTTAAAAGTTAAGAAATTAAGAATTTCAAAGCATATTTAACGACACAACTAACCACAAAAATCTTCGTTTGATCCCAACTCCCTTCCCCCCCCCCTTTCTCCCCCAAAAACTTAAGACAAATATGTAAGATTTGAAACTTTGCATGCATGGCAGTATACAAATACAGCATGGTTTGGGGGGAAGTTGTTGGAATTACTGGTCCCGAGGTGTAGGTCAGCTTGACTTGGCATCAGCGAGCATCCAAATATTGCGGTGAAGTTCTACTCCATGTCGTGAAACCTTAATTTCTGACTCGACAAGAGATTTGAACCAATCGGCATACCCGTTCCATTGAGCATGTTGGCCTCATCAGAGCTCCAGAACGACAGTTCCGATTCGCCCTTCCACCTGCTGATGTGGTTGATTTTGTCAGTATCACTTTTGTCCACTCCAGAATAGACAGTGTACAAACCATCATTGGAGTTGTTGCGCTGTTTTAAGACAGAAAAAAAAACGGCCATCTTTATTAACAAATAAGATAAAAAAAAATTTAAAAAGATTTTCTGAGGTTAGGTCATTTCAGTGGCACAAGCTTGGATTTTAACTTGACAGAAACTGAAATGTACAGTATGTAAATTGAAACTTGAAACATAAAATTGAAACTCGTGGCAGTTATTAAGGATGTAACATTTACACATTTAAACGGAAACAACTGTAAATCTATTACACATTTTCCAAAATGTTTCAACGCAACCCGAATTATAAAAAAAACGGCCAACATTCACGCAATCTTCCTTTGGGTGAGAACCTACATGTACATAGCACAAATAATTAGCAATGTTTTCAAACCTATTTAATTTAGAAAACCTTTGAAGCACTGCATTACTTGATTACATACGGGGCACACGTAGTTCAGTTTTTACTTTTTCAATGACTGCCATTGTCGATTTATCTTGTCAAGCAAGCAGTCTTAAGACATAATTAGCTTCTCAAAATATTTGCTAAACGTTTAGAAATTTAAACACAAAGTACATCCTTAGTGACAGTGCACAAGCGTCCCACAGCCATTATAGAGTCAGAAATATAATGGCATGCAAACTGATAGTTGTCGCAACTTTCTACAAGACTGCTCACGTCGGCCACATTACGCTCCCTACAGTCCATATACAAGCACGCCAATGCGTCGTACTTACATTGACGAAGATTCCAAATTCGGGGTAAGGATACAGATTCTTGGAGTAGGCTAGCTGGGTCAGAAGGTCCTCATAACCCCATAGTATCTCCTCCACTGTTTTGCTCTGGAAAGTTGGAGTTCCATCTAAGACAATCTTCAATGCCAACCTATCGAGAGCACTCAAGAACGGAAGCAGTCCAGCTGCAGTCTGTGTGGGGTGAGAAGCAACATCACATTATTTCATAAAATGAAACAATAAAAAAGAAAGACAAAAAGGACAAAATGTTGCCATTGTGTTTGTAGACATTTGTTGGGGTCCTAACTTTTCTAACCAAAGTCACTAGAAGTTGTGTCCATGTAATAAGGCTCAATGGGTTTTATATCTTGTGTTGCTTTCCAAACTGAACTTAAGGGTAGAGTACATGTAGATCATTTGTCAGTTGTGCATATTTTTCGTTTGAAGCAACAAAAGTGCTCAAAATCTAAAGACGGGTGTTTAACAATCATCCTGATGAAGTTTCAGCTAGCTGTGAATGCTGTATATTCTGAGAAAACAATATTCTAGGATCTCGGTTTCAATACAAATGTTGCCAAGTCATGTTTTGAATTGCACCCGAAATCAGCATCTGGGACACGTTCTCAATCAGCCGATTGCAGCTACGCGATGTCACGCACTGAACTGACAAATAATAGCGACCACAAGCACGTGTGCATCGTGTCAACGCTTGTGCGCACCACGTCGGGGATTTGCCAAATTACAAACCAACTATAACAGAATTTTCCAAAAATGTGTCACTTGACGCATCTTTAAAAATGGCCTTTATTTGTTGTTTTCCCAAAATGACAGCATGCCAGAAAGAATAATTTCACAGAGAGTTTAGTGCCATTACTATCTCTAAACCAAGTTAAGTTTTCAACAATAATTTTATCAGTTACTTTTTGGATAGCTGCAAATGATTTACTCTACCTTTAAAATTGGCCAAAAATAAATATGAGATTGTTTTTTAAACCTTAATTTAGACTATGAATCAGGGCACAATGAGGCTAGCAATAATTTGGTTCTATTAAATCATCTTCACTGCAGCTCATCTTCAAGTTAAAAAGAACATTAACCTCACTATCAATTCAAGATGGCTGACTACTAAATATGGTGAATGGCTGGGGACATCTGTACATACCACGGCAGGAATGTTGACTGTAGTGAAGGTATGATTACTTGGATCTCCCACAGAGAGATCTAGGTCCAAGATATAAGATTTCTGTTGTGCGTAGGTTATGGTGCCGTTACTGTGGGACGTGATGTTTTCCTTGATCATAACTTCTCTTTAGGGTTAGGGGAAGAGAATTAAAAAAACAAAACATGCAAAACGTTTTAACAATCAATAATCTTAATCTGATGAATATTGAAGAGGTATAGTAAAAAAAAAAATACAACATGTTTTTGCTTGGAAATATGGAAAACTAAATAAAGACCCCTCTTCGCCTCGGGTCCCAATCATCCAACACCTGGGGGTCATTAGTTTTCACTATTTCCCCACAAACCATGTTGTAATTGTATACTATGAGGCAGTTATCATTAAATCCAGCGTTATGAGGCAGTTATCATTAAATACAGCGTTTTACACTGGAAAGTACATGAAGCTGCTGTTAATGTACGTTCAATCTACAATTACTACCTATACGTGTAGGGTCCTTGCTGAACTAAGTACGGTTCCTTGGTTCCTGCCTGGACCTCATCTGGATTGGTCAGGTTCCAGACCCAGAACTGCATGTAGACATCTGCCGTTGGGTCCTTCCAGATCTCATAGCCCATGGTGCCGTTCTCCAGCATCGTTTGCTGCAAAGGTAAGGATTGGAATTTTCAAAAATTGTGCAAATATGGAGTGAATAGGGTTATAAGAAATTACCTATTTTTGAGCAATGGCGTGCTTGCACATGTACCTTCCAATTTTCTGAGTAATAGAGCAACTGGAATTTGCTTCTCTAACGACAGGTGGGCAAAACGTGACACTCTTGTTTGCCGATTTGTATTATTTTAACCCTCCTTTTGTTTGATCAATCACAGACAGTCAAAAATTATCTACCCATGCCTTTTAGGCATGCTAGTCACCGGCAGTCACATCATATTTCTATGGGCACAGTGACTAGTCATATTCTATCAACAGACAAAAGCAGGTGACTGGTAGGCACAGCTGGCTTATCAATCTCCTACATCTACAGTCAAAGCATTGCTGTTTCAGGTTTCATAACAATCATAGCCAGTCAAGTCTGCTTTATGACTACAAGGAGCACTCAACTGTTAAAAACAGTCACTTGGTTTATTTGGACTGCTGGGTTGGCCTTGTTGTATTGCCAGCCAGAGAGGGAGGGTTAGGCCCGACTTTTACATTTCTAATTGATTTAATGTGACAGCACTTCCAGATAGGCCCTACAGCGATGTTGGAATTCATTTTCCAATTACAAAGTAATGTGTGGCCCAGCGTGCTCGTACTCGTGGTAAAGAACTCGTACTCATGGCAAAGTACTCGTACTCATCTCACGGAAAAGTACTTGTACTCATACTTTTAAAAAATACATTGTAATAAAAATTGGGAAAAAAGTGAACTTGAATGAAGGCATGTTCAGCACATGGTTGATTATCACATCTGTGCACAGCTATAGCTTGTAGCTCCATGCTGAATACAATATACAGCCTACAATGATTAACTCATAAGATAAAAAACAAGTAGGCCCTAATGGTTTGTTGGAAAAGAATTAAGGACTCATTGAAATCATAAACTATTAGAGAGCAAGGTTAAGCACCAATTATTATAATCCCAGTTTTAGGATTGCAATGGTCAATATTAGTATGGCATTAAAATAGACCTACTTGCAGCCTGAATTAAATGCAACAAAGTTCATTATGTGAATGAACTTCCCAACAAATTATGACAAATAATTGTCTCCATTTTTCATTATCTTTAAAATAAAAACAATAAATCCACTGGCAGTACATAGTCCAAGGATTTAAATACGGCTATCAGTTGATATGCTCAAAGATGAGGGTCCCATGCAGCTCATGGCCTTTTTGTGCAAACAATGTTACTGTATTGCGGAGTTTATTCTAATATTGAGTATGGTAAGGCATGTCATGACTTTCTGAATTTTTGGGGAAAAAAGGTGAAATGAACTTTCCTATACAGATGCAACAATCAGATTTAAAGGGATTGCTTTTGCTATATGGACAGGTTGGGGGATGGTATCTTACAGCAAACATTGTTACACTGAGTTGTTTCAGGTTTTGTGTTTGTAGATGCTGGAAAAACCAAAAAAACCAAGAGAAACAATCGTGTTCCTGCAGTCTGGTTCCCTCACCCCACTTAAAATGAAACGGGGCAATTTATAGACATCAGAGAAGTGTAAGGTCAGGGAACCAGTCTAGCTGGCTTGTACCCGTTCATAGGCGTGTAATCAATTGCAAACAAAATGCGGACCAATTAAATGTGGTAAACTGGGGGCAGTATTTGAATAAAGCCAGTTTTTCCAACGCTGGTCGGCTGACCAGCATTGGAAATTGATACAAAAATACCACTTTTCTTGGAATAACAGCACACCAGGTGCCACGATTTTACATAGTTTTGTGTTTTTACATAGTTTCGTACTTTAGCGCCATCAGACAGTAACAGTCCATTAATTAACATATATTTCATAATAATTTGGTACTTTTGTTTTGTGAAGTTTGCAAATGTTGTATATTCCCTTTAAACTAAGTGGCATGTTAGAAAATAAGGTTTTATTTTTACTTCTGGTACAGAAGTTCTGTTTCTCAGTGGAAATTTGAAGCAGACAAAAAAAAATTGCAGCTAAAATTGCTACTTTTGATTAACGTGTATGAATTCTTTTAAGCTATTTTCTGTTACACACACTGCGCCAGAAGTTGGTACTATTACTGTATGTTTTCTAAACATTACTGCAAGCATTACATGGCATTAGGTACCTGTGCGATGCAAAAACAGCACAAATATCTTAAATCTGGGACAAATTTGAGTTTGAAGCAAGTTTTCTGAAAACTGGATGAATCTAACATAATTTTGAGGAACATTGTTTCAGCCTGGATAGGAGGAACAATCTGTAAGAAAAAAAAACTTTTTTTTTTATCTGGGCTGCACTCACTGCAGACAGGAACAACTGATCACGATTGTGCTTAAATTATAAAAACATGGACTTTCATTTTTGATTGAGAAAAACAAAGACAAGGAAGGAAGTGCGTGTAACAAAAGAAGATCAGTTACAAAAAACAAACTAGTTCTGGAATATAAACAAGGAACTTCATATCAAAATGAAGTGGTAAGTAGTAAGTACAGTTTGCGTTTTTCTTTGTTTCTTGTTTCAACAATAGCCAAGGGTACACTTTTTTTCATATTTGGTGGGCATGGGCGTCGCCAGGATTTTTTTCTTGAGGGGGCAGGTGAAGGGGAGGGGAATGAAGGGGGGGGGGGGAGGGAGGGGGCAAAGCATTCACCAGCCAAGGAAATATAAAACAGCATGTACATGTGTCTTATTTAAGGTCCCTTACTGGCAGTTTTGATTGTAAAATATAAAATAACAGAACAGTAGCTATAACTAACATCGCAGGATTCACAGAAATTGTTTGTAATATTTTGATTGTTCGGTTTAGCGATTTTTAGCTGCCGGTGCTACGATATTCATTTCATATTCTACCTGCACACCCTACCGACTATTGAATTACGATATTGCACAGTTTTTGAGTTTACTTCCTATAGCAATGGGTGGCTTTCCCCTTCTATTCCTTGGGGAAATAATAGCCACTTGTCGCTTTTCTGTTGACATTTTTCAACAATTTGTTCGGTACGTTTTGTACACAAATTGGGAGCAAAGGGCAATGTTCCGTATAGCCGAGTGTTTGGTATAGCAGTGTTTGGTACACATATAGGGACGTTCCATGGTACTTGATTTTAGTTTTAGTTTTAGCTTTTGTTTTGCTCTTTGAGGAGTGGGGTTCGGGGGGGGGGGGGGGGGAGGGGGGGGGGACGTTCCATGGTACTTGATTTTAGTTTTAGTTTTAGTTTTTGTTTTGCTCTTTGAGGAGTGGGGTTCGGGTGGGGGGGGGAGGGGGGACGTTCCATGGTACTTGATTTTAGTTTTAGTTTTAGTTTTTGTTTTGCTCTTTGAGGAGTGGGGTTCGGGGGGGGGGGGGGGGGAGGGGGGAGGGCAAGTGATAAAATCTAACTACTCTCTGCTTTAAAACTGCCATAGGACTACCAGGTGGCCAATACATGTATCAGAAACCATTGCGAAATTTGTCTTAACATTAGATTTAACAAAATTGAAAACAAAGATGTCACATATTTTTTTTTCATTCTGGAATTGACAAACTCACCGCGACGATTTCATTGTGGATGATCGTTTGTAAGATTGGAAACATCACCCCACCGATGACTGCACAGATGATTCCTAGCCCCAGCACCACACTCAAACAAACTTTGCCAGCATTCCCCATTCCTGGAGAATAACAAGTGAACAACAATAACAGAATTTCAGATTCGGACTTTGTTTTAATTCATGCATTCACAACAATATCTAATTTGACTAACTTGAAGATGTTAAGACCTATTTAGGAATTTATATTAATTAATGCAATGAAATATTACAAACATCAATACAACCACACACCCACAACAGAAAGAATTGTCGAATGCCACTTGTTTTCATCGTAAATGATCTTAATGAAGGTCATTCATTGTAAAAATGTTGAAAAGACATGAATCTGAGACTGAGAAACATTTCAATTATGTTAAACAATACTTTGGAAATGCACTTGACTCTGTAGACTAGCTCTGTAGACTAGTTAGGCCAAAAAAATTTGTTCAGGAAAAATGAGGGGGAAACCCCGAAAACCATCAAATGGCATGTAACGGAAGCAGAACTATTTTTTGGGCCTTAGTACTATTGGTTAGTCTCCATAGACAACCACATGGTGTCTTAACATTCTGTCGAGACCAGGCCAAGCTTTACTTTGAGGGTAGTCCAAGTAACTAGGACTCTACGAATTGCCTTTTTTAACATTTGGAGATGGTTGGGCGACTATCGCCCGACCATCTCCAATTTGTTAAAAAAAGCGATTTGTAGAGTCCTAGTAACTCGGACTACTTTGAGGGATACAATTGTAGGCAAAACGGGTATTATTTAATAAGTAGGCCTACTTGTAATTTTTGTTAAAAAATTGCGATTTATACCCCAAGAATCTGTTCAAAATTGCAAAACGGGTGTCATTTAATAGAATTGAGAAAAGTCTGCTTTTGATTGTACTAAAGTAAAGGTGATTTTTGAGCAATAAAAAACATTTTTGACTCTAATTTGATCAAAACAAAACAGGGGCCCTACACTTCACGATTGCCAATAGTTTAGTTAAGCACCGAAACAAAGGCACTCGTCCACTTCATTCACAATCAATGACTGGCATTTTGGCAAACAGTACAACACATCATCATCAATCAATGGTAATTTACTTGATTTTGTAGACCGATCTAAGTCACACTCCTTCCGAAATGACGTCCAGGATTCAGTTCACACACTCAAAGTTAAATCGAGGCTCGAAAAGATTCCGAAATGTCAAAATCGCCAACTTTATTGGTCTTTCAATCGTGTTATATGGCCTGCTTTGCCAAGAAGACACACACTGAACCGCATGCCGCATATGCATATACACGTGACTAGTCATGTGTCATGTCTATGAACTGACCTCCTTGCCAGTGTCTTTCTCATTTCAACATCGGGTTCTACGCAGAATACTGAGAGACCAGCGTATGGTAGCGTACTGCTCAAATGCTAGGGGGCGAGGCTGATCGGTGTATTATTTCGCCATATCCGTTCAAGGGCGCCACCTATCTGTCAATAATTTCATTTTAGATAAAATTCATAATAGTTTGAAATAATATTGGGTTCCCAAAACATATTATTGACTGAACGTTCTATTGTTCACAAAATCGATGCAAAGTCATAGTTAACAGAGAAAGGCACTTGCTGTATAGGGGGTGGGGTGGGCAGGCGCGGATCCGGGGGGGGGGGGGGCACAGAGGCGTGGCCAGCGGTATTGGTGGTAAGGGGGGGGGGGGGGGTATTTGCACACTATTGTGCGATAGTAGTAGTGCATGATCGTCAGATTTAAATAGCACCCCCATTGGAAGATGGTACCAGCCCCACCCCCTCCCACTTTTTGACATTACGGAGAGACGCCACTGATTTGCTATTTTAAACAAATAGGAGAAGTGTTGGAGGGGGTGGTATGATCATTGATGTACATGAATAATAGAAATTAATCATATTTGCTGCATAAACATCTGAGTTTATTCTTATTTCTCAATTTCGTTTATTAATTTTCTTTCATTGAATGTAATATTACATTCATTTAGTGCAACGACCCTCACATAAATCATGATTCAGTACATTTAATAAAACACCCTGTAAAATAATCTTATCTGATATATAGATTCCAAAATGTTGGTTTTATAATATAATTACAACAAATTTAATCTTAATTTTCTTTTAAAAAAAAAAACACCATTTTTTTTAAAACTCCAGATGGAAAAGGCAGTTTGCTGTGTTCACTTACATTGAAAATTGAAAGTTACTTTAGTAAGTTTACTTAGTTTTTATAAATACATAAAAATAACGTAAATATCCAGTTTCATCTTAAATTAGTTCAGTTAGTTTGAGTGACTCCATTGTTTTCAAAATTGGTTGCATGCATTTGAACCAGTGCACACGCTTGATGTGCACTTCATTGGTTTGCATGACAACTCAACAAAATGGTTCAAGTACGGAAAAAATGTTGCAACTTGATGCCACTTCAGGGGTTGTGTACAAAGCCTACGGAGAGTCAAGAATTTTTTTAAAAAGTATTTCTTAACAAACTTGGAAATGTTTCTCAGTCCCAGATTCACGTCTTATCATCTTTTTTTGCAATGAATGACCTTCACTGAGATGATATATGAAGAAAAAAGCAGTGTCAGGTTGCAACATTTTTTCCTTCAATATAACATTTATTTATATCCAACCATGAACAAAATACAATTCATATAGCATGTACAATAAAGGAAAATAATTATAAAATATAAGTACTTCAGCCTATCCAAATAAGCCAGTCTAGTGCCCTCTATCGACCAGTCTACAAATAGTCTTGCGTAATGGCCGCGACATAAATACAACCCAGATCAGCCATTAAAGTCCTACTAGCTTTTACATGGTGGCAGAAGTGGGATCAGCACATGATGAAGTTTAAGACAAATAAATCTTGAAGCCATATAATTTTGGTTTGCAACTCCTGCAGTGTTATGAGCAATAAGATCAGTTTTGATCCACTAGTTGTGGCTCACTCTCCTGAGTCCGCGCAAACAGCGTTTGTCACTTTCGACTCCACAGTCTGCGCCAAGTCAGTTGACAGCCTTCCCAGCTGTTCTCCTGTTTCATCTAGGGAAGCCTGTCTGCCGTTATCCCCAGCTGCATCTCTTTCATCATCGGCATCGTTAATCTCCAGTCGGGAATCAGGATCAGAAGGCAGGTTGTTAGACTCATCAAGTATAGGTTTATCGTCTTGGCTTGATGCCTGTTCAATGTGTTGTTCCTCCTTTGCCGATTGTCCTGTTTCAGCCTGGGAAACCTCTCCGCCACTCGGTATCTCTTGATTATCCTCGCTGTTTGCAGCTGAAGCCTCTTCTGACGGACCTGTACCAGCTTTGTCTGCCTCTGCACTGTTGTCAGTTTGTTGCTCATAGGCTTGTATGTCTTCTGTTTCTAAAGCTGGGGTCGGAGGGGGAAGTACCGTCCGTGCCTCCATGATGAGACGTTTGATCCCAACCATCCACTGGCTGACCTGACGGAAGACGATAAATAAGAAAATCTTGAGCAAATGTTTTTACTGTGGACACTGGCAAAATTGTTTGGCTGGGGGAGAAATTTGGAAGGAGAAAGTCAAATGAATTACCTCAGATACATAGTCCACCATCAAAGACAAGTGGACGTCGTGAGCTCGGTCATAATCTCTACCTGCAAGAGCTGTGACAGAAAGCAGAAACCCATGACATCAATTTAACTTCTTTGAGGCAGACATATCCTGATTATTTAGTAAACATTTTTTTAAAAAATTGTCGAGCTTGGAATGTCCAAATCTATGTCTGTAATTTTAGTGTACGTGTTAGTACCTGTTGATAATTTGGCCATTCGCTGTTGCACCTCTGCACAGAGCTTGTCTGCAGACCAGGCAGCATTTAGCACTTCAAGTTTTTTCTTGATATCCTCTGCCACACGAGCCTGAACAGGGAGAATAAACCAATCCTTGAAAAAAAAAAACCAGTTGATTCCAAACGCATACAAGTGATTTTCCTGCTTGTATCATCGCCAAATGTTTAGATATTTAGTAAGTCCCAGAACATAAGAGCGTCTTTTCGTATCTCATATGGAACATGATGACAGTGGAACATCCTTATACTGAACATCGCTGTTCCAAACATTTGGCTATATCGAACATCATGCTTGGCTTCAGGACATTGCTGTTGAAAAATATCAACTGAAGAGCGACAAATGGCTATTATTTCCCCATGGAATGCAAGGGGAAAGCACCCATTGCTGTAGGTAGTAAGCTAAAAAAACCTGTGTAATTACATAATTCAATAGTCGGCACGTGTTCAAAGTCATCTTTCAGTAACTACCAGTGAATAAGTTGTGATTTACAAGTCCATCAATAACCACAATAAACATTTACCTTTAATTTCTCCTCACATAGCTTCAGAACATCTCTCAGTTTTGCTAAGGTAGTGTCGAGGATGTCATCTGGCAACCCCGACTGACCCTCTCCTTGAACTTTGACCTCGACTGACCTTGCTGGAGAGGTCTTACTCTGTACAGTCGGTGGTGTGCTGAACGTTTGCACGGGAGCGACTGTATTAACTGGAGGTGCTTTCGGTGTAAATATTTGTGGAAGGCCAGGTTTAACATCTCCTATGAAAAAATTAAAAGATAAATCATAAGATAGAAAAGATGTCTACTAGCAGTTACAAGTGTTTCTTGTTTGTACACCTTGAGAATAAAACGCTTGTTACACTTTGAGTATAAAAAGCGAGAAAAAAACCCAATGCGATTAATGCACAAAAATAAAATGAAGAAAAACAATTAAGGAGAAGTAAAATTCTTTTACAATGAAATGTCAGCATATTGTAGTTTGAACAAACTAAAGGAATGGATTATCTTGACCATAGTACCTGTTTTTTGGATGTTAGAACTGGCATGACTTTGAGGCATTCCCACCCTTTGGGTGAGTGGGTTCTTCCTGGGTGACGACTGTGCCTTCTGGCCATCTTTGCTGTACATGAACATCGGTGGATCGTTCCATCCACGCTCGGGGTTGCCTATGGACAGGATTCAGTTATAAATGTTTAAAGTCAACTCGTATACTCAAGGTGATTGAGTGCATTTACAGGCCTTTTACTTTTTTGACCTTGATTAAGAAAAAGAAACTTGACCAGAATTTGATGTGGCGATAGTGTAGTTACGGGCCCCTCTTTAACAGTTTCGAATCAAATTAGAGTCAAGGATGTTTTGTTTATCATTCAAAAATGACCTTTTCAGCCTAAAGCAGACTTCTCTCAATCCTAATGACACATTTTTGGGGTTAATTTTGAACAGTTTCTTCATCTTGGGGTGGAAGTTAAGATTTTCATGCATGATTTACAGTTGCTGCCATGCGATTCAGCACGCCTTGTGCATTCACGGTACATCATGGTGATCGCCATCTTTTATTTTTGCTCTGCGTTTTGTTGCTATCATCATCATTTTACACCCAAATTTCTTTTAAAAATTCAAAACCCCTTCCCTCTAACTTCACCAAATAGTTTGGTATTAAGTAAAATAAGTTAAAAGTGGATTTTGTTCTCTTATAGATGAATCCGCCAATTGTGAAGTGTAGGGCCCCTGTTTTGTTTTGATCAAATTAGAATCAAGATTTTTTTTTTTATTACAAGATGACATTGTCAACCTAAAGCAGACTTCTCTCAATGTAATGACACCTTTTTGGTAATGGTAATTTTTGAACAGTTTCTTGGCGTAGAAATTACGATATTTCTACACGGTTTTTAATACAGGCTGGTTGGTGCCATGCAGCGTGACTTGCGTGCTCACGGTGCATCGCGCCGTGATTGCCATGTCTATTTTTGTGTTGGGTTTTGTCGTTGTCATTGTCAATGTCATTTTACCCCCAATTTAATTTCCCTCAAAAATTCAAAGCTCCGCCCGTTATCTATGACATCCCCCCCCCCCCCCCCCCCCCCCACAGGCCTAAAACTAGTACTAGTAAGCCTAGGCCCTATGTTCTTAATGTCGCCAACTAGTGTGGTTGGTCAAATAATTTAAAAAGTGGATTTTATTCCCTAAGTTATAGGAACCGGGCCCGTAGATACACGACTGCCGTAATAATCAGTATATGGAACTGGGCCCGTAACTACACACTGACGTCGTGACGATCGCCTTTGCTGTGGCATAGGGCTAGCTAGTAATGTGCAGCGTGCACCGCGACACGTCATCAAACTTAAAACGTTCAGTTTTTACTATATTTTGAGATGAAATGTCTTTCTTTTGTTGCCAAAAAATTGTTTTGTCGTGCTGAGGAAAACGATGTTGTAACTGTCATGATCATAATGTTATTAAACAGCTGATTTCGAGCGTTAACAAAATCACAATAATTAAAAAATCCCACCCGGCCTGGTCGCCGCCATCTTTAAAAACTTTCACCCTCTTTCCAGATATTAATTTGTCTGAAAAATACATTGTAAAATAAATATTATGAATACCTTCCAATTATTTTCAGACGTAAATAAGGCCGTACAGATTTGTTTTAATAAGTGCTATTATGGTGTAAAGTTTTTGTTTTAATTACCATATTGCTGATCAATAAACAAAATAATTCAATCAAAAGATCCCATTTGGGGATAGATCCCAATCCTAATTGGGAAAATCTGCAGTCGGGCTACTTTCTACGCCCATCTTGAAATAGTGCCCAATTTGAGACGTGCGCGCTGGCAAGAAATTTATTTTCAGCCTTAAATCTTATTCGAAAAGTCCTTCTAATTCTCGGTAATAACAAATGCAAACAAAAGAAAAAAGTCGGTTTGTTTTGTTTTGTCTTGTTTCAATTTTTTCTTTCCTTTTTTTCAAATGTTTCCCGCAACAGCGCCACCATGCGTCTAGCATAAGAAAGGATTGTGTGCCGAACTGGCGTTTTGGTAACCCAACTTATATTCTCAAACGGGGCAATGCTTGACTGCAAATGGGTACACATCTTGAATTGGAATCTGGAATGTCAAAAATTTGCAGACGACAAACAAGATGGTCAGCAGCGCATGTGGACTAACCGGGAGCTCGGAAAAAGATGGAAAAAAGGCAGGACCACACCGCTTTGAAATTCTCAATTATATCCTTTAGTACAAGTGCTAAATTTTCGTATATGTTTACTTTAATACTCATGTGCTTTCTTTCATATGTGAAGGCTAGGCTAGCCAACCGTCTTTATGTAGACGTAAATGTAGGCCAATGAGTAAATGACGTCTGTTTCCGACATCCAATTTAATTTTTATTATTTTTTTTTTTTTTTTCCAGAGAGATTTTCTTTGTACTTTTGGAGGCTGTGATAATGCCTACACGAGGAAGATCCATCTTCAGAGACACTTAGCCAGTCATTCTGACAAGAGGGATTTTGTGTAAGTTGTCCTGCTGTAAAACGATATTAAGCTGGCTAGATTGTACAGCGCCCTCTTTGACAGGGATTGTGTAGTGTAGGACACCTTTTTCTTTTCTTGAACTTGAAGTGTTTGTATCATCCAAATGACTTTTGCAACCTCAAGCAATTTAAGATCTGATAAATAAGCCCAGTTTTCATAATTTTCAACAGTGGTTTGGTTGCAAATGTGTCTTTTTTACCTGATTTTTTTTGTTTTGTCATGCTTGACATTTTTAATTTTTTTCTTCATCTTAACATATTAAGAATAGTCTTATTTTATTAATTTAAATTGACGCCAACATTTAATTGACTATTACATTTTCGTATTTTGATTCGTGGCTCTGGAGGATTTTGTTTAAAAGGGAAATAAAGTCTGAAATTGTAAAATGGTCTGATTTCCATCTTGTGAATACGAAATCACAACCACAATGTTGACGTGGAACCAGACTAAGGTTTGTCACAGTAAAAATTTCAAAGTCCCGAAAAAACAGTCACTGCGCATGTTCAGTGCTTATCCGGCAAAATATTGTTTACAAAAAGAAAGCCGGATCTGGCTGAATATCCACTGCCTTGTTCTAACAATTCAGGCATAAAAGAATGTAAACAAAAAAATAATGTTATATTGTATTATAAATATGACTCTGATTGATTTGGCACAACAGCTAATGCTTCATGCAATACACGAAGGCAATATCTGTGCCTTTTCCCGTCCCACATTACCGAGCTTAAGCATCATGCATTGGAGCCACATAGAATTAACAGCCACTTGCCTTCTTGGCCATTTTTGTTTTTCTCAGTTGCTTGGAAGACGACTGTGGTAAATCATTCACCAACAACGACATCCTGAAGAAGCACATCCGTAGGATACACCGGGAGAGAATATTCAAAGTAAGGCTGCAATCACAATAACATCGGTCTTACAATCAGATATCTTAGTTGGAAATTTGTTTATGGCCGAGGATTTATCTCTGTCATCTTAAACTCTAGAGCGATTAAATGCTTGATAAGTAATTGGTGAATCTTTTTTTTTTCATGGTGCACCCCTGTTTCACCCCTGTTTATATATAATCATAGATTTACTTTCATTTAACAAAATAACATGCATTCTGTGCAAAGTTGTCATTTCAGTCAAAATCTGTCAAATGACTGTTTTGAACAATAGCAGTTAAGAGCTCCCAGCCTACGTAAAGCAGGATTGACTGGCTGTGACTGTTTAAGTAACTTGATAGAGCTATGCTTTGACTTTAGTGCTTTGACTGTAGGTGATTGATAAAACAGCTGTGCCTACCAGTTGCCTGCTTTTGTCTGTTGACTGAATTTGACTAGTCACAGTGCTTGCTTGAAATATGATCTGACTGTTGGTGACTAGCCTGTGTTAAAAATATAGCAGGGGAAGTGGATGGAACTTTTGACTGTCTGTGACTGTTTAAATAGTAGAAGGGTTCAGCAAGGAGAGTGTATCTGAATCTGGAAACCTGGATGTCCACCTTTTGTATTTAAATTATTTTCAAAATGAATTGTTTCCAGTCACTCAATTAAAATGAAGGTAGTTTTACCAATCCGTCCAAGTTTCTGCATCGTTTATATCTTTTTCTCCCCCGTCTTCTCTCATCATGTAGTGCAACTATGAAGGCTGCGACAAAACATTCAAGAAGCATCAGCACTTAACTGTGCACGGTTACATTCACACAAACGTCAAACCCTTCAAGTAAGTGTCAGTTGAGAAGGGACCTAGCAAATGGCTTCATTCAGAAACTCATCGTGGAAAGATTTCCATATACAAAGTTCACTAATTTTCCTCTGTATTGACTAATAAGCCCCCAGATAGCAATTTCATGTCATCAAAGTCAATTTGAGCAGTGAGAAAATACAAGCATTTTCTTAAAAAACACTTACGATTTTTCAGTCCAATCTCATAGGGTTTGTACACAGGGTGTTGAGTGAACTTCGTATATGGAAATCTTTCCCTCATCGTGGTCATTACATGTATATACATATAGATTCCCAGCAGCAGATTTGAGTAACCCTAGCTTTCCCAAATCCTCCCAAATCCTCTTTGCAAAATGGAGGATTTTGCGGAATTGAGGCTATATGGCGAAAATGTGTGGCTGAATTTGTAGGATAAACTGCGTCAAGGTCTTGGGCCAGACCTTGTGTTGTTTATGCTCAGTCGTGCATAAATGTAGGCCTACAATGTAGATTATACTTGAAATCCTCCGCACTGCTCCAGGATTTCACCGGCTCTGACTCGTCATATTGACAGTGATTGCCGGAGGATTTTGCAGGATTGAGGCAGTGGTCACCCCTCCAACGACCACATTTGAGAAATAACTTTTGTATGAAATGATTACATTGAGACAGTTGGATGATCTGGTAGGATTGAGGTTCATCATTCATTCATTCATTTCCACTTAATCATTTTGAAGGGAAAAGGTTTGGACAATAATTTAAATAAACAGATAAGATTAAGCGGTGGGCTTCTCCAAAAGCAAGCTTATCAAGTGGAGAAGTCCATGTTATGTGTAGAAAAAAATGTATATTATGCTGAATACTAATTAGCAAAAATACCTTAGGTTAGGGTTAAAATAGTTTTTAAGTATTAAAATGTACTTCAATAGTTTAAACTACTGAGAACAGGGTTGTCATATCTTATAATTCTAGCTATTTATGTGGATTTTTATATCTTGTCCATGTCACAAACTCATTGAAAAGAGCTTCATCCAACTTTTCACAATTAGTATTGTCTTGTAGCTTTGTGACTTCAAAATCTAGTAAGCAGTTCGTTACCCTCAGAAACCAAGCCTTGAATTTCTGGTCTCAATCTGGATAATTTGAAATTAGGGGCTGTACAAGCTTTATCATTGGTATTTCAGCAATATCATTTTTTTTCTTCTCCCATTTAGATGTCAATATGAGGGGTGTGAGGCGAGATTCAAAGTTCCAAGCAAATTGAAAAGTCACGCCAAAATACACAAAGGTGGGATTACATACTGTCTAACTGTAAACTGAAGAGTCTCAAATTGTTTAACCCTAACCGCCCTGAATCCTTCAAAATCCTCTTTGCCAAAGTGGAGGAATTTGGAAGATTGACGTTACATGGCAAAAGTGCGTTACTGATTGCGTGGGATGCACTTTGTCAAGGTTTTGGGCTGGACCTTGTGTTGTTTTTGCTCAGCCATGCATAAATAACTCTTGTGAATCAGTATTTGTGGCGTTTGGCTGTATATCAGTGTCGATTGAACCCAATGTTGGCATAATTTTCCATTTCTTTTCAATAAATATTTATACTAGTTTTCTACTTGTTTATTAATAAAGGTTACACGTGTGATAAAGAAGGTTGCGGTCGTCACTTTGATAAATGGACAGGCCTACGCAAGCATCTCTCTGAAGATCACATCACAGGTATTTTTCTTTTCTAGTTTATAATGAATACCCAAAATAGAAAACATGGTTCTTTTGTTATCCTGAAACGTGAACATATTAGCTGTTATAGTTGGTTTGAAATTCAGATTCAGTGACGGTTGCTGATCATTTCAAGCGGATAAATGACACTTTTTTTTTATATTTTGCATCTATTAAATGTTGCTTTATTGTGTTTTGTTTTGCAGAATACAAATGTGAAAAGTGTGGAAAGACCTACCACAAGAGACATAAGGTACACCGTAGTCTTTAACCAAATATTGTTAAAATATAAAGAATATTACATACCATCTTATGAATAGTTTCATTGCGGTTCCAGCTGCTACATCAGTTTCGAACCAGCCAACCGATCCTATTAGCTCGGTGGTCGAGTGGTAAGACCTCTGCACTAGAAAGCAGGAGGTCGTGGGTTCAACTCCCTTTTTCTCACTTTTACTTGGGGGAAATGGGGGGAACACACTGAGTATACAGTGTTTATACGTCAATGGAGGGCAAAACCTTATATTGATTTACATCACCCGGATGCAAATTCCATCTTATGAAAAGTTTCATTGTGGTACCCGCTGCTATGTACATCAGATTCGAACCAGCCAACTGATCCCGTAAGCTTGGTGATGGAGTGGTAAGACGTCTACACTAGAAAGCAGGAGGTCTTGGGTTGGAGTCCCACCCGAGTGATTTTTTCCAACTTTTACTCGAGAGGTAACACACTGAGTATACAGTGTTTATACGTCCGTGGGCAAAACCTAATATTGATTTTCATCACCATTTTCATGCCATAACAGGCATCCATAGAATTGAATGAATGGTACACGTTAACAGCCATGTGTGATTTTTGAATGTTTTGTGTTGCAGTTAAAGGTGCACGTCAAGTCCCATGAAAAGTTGAGGGAAGTTTTCATGTGTCCCCGGGAAGATTGCGACCGATCGTACCTCAAGGTAAGGTGCTATGATAAGCAGAAAACTATCACCAATCAAAAGTGGTATGCACTGCATAACATGTTGATCGCTACTTTTTTTTATTGCTGAGCAGTTAGTTTCTGTTCTAAGCAAAAATCTTCGCTTATGAAAAGTCTGTGTTCAATAGATTCTGTGCTTCTGTCTTTGGCAGCTGCATGGAAATGTCACAAGTACAGCGTGTGTCAATAAGAATGTAGAAGTCAATTCATAAATATTAAGATACTAGCACTCTTTTTTGCCGAAGTTATTTATAGAGTCTGAAGGTGTACTAAATACTCTACACAATGGTCTTTATCCCGTCTCATTTGGACATTCCAGTCCAGAGATACAGCTAATTAAATGAAAAGACTTGAAGTCCAAGTTGGGCCACTTTTCAGATTATCTGGTATCTAATGAAAGGCATTCACATACCAAGGAGGTGTGTGAATGCCTTTCATTAGACACCAGATAATCTTAAAAGTGGCCCAAACAGATTTTGACAGTCTTTTATACATGCTTTGCCGTAACTTTTGAACAAAAGGTCCAAATCACACAGAACAAAAATTCCTGTAAAAGGTAAAGAAACACTATCATCTCATGGTTATTTTTTTACCAATTATTTTTGTAGTTTCCTCAGGACAAAAATGTTTTACTGCTCCATTTTTTTTTGGAGACACGCTGTATATGATAACAGGCATTTGTTTTCTTTTAGGCATCGTACCTAGAGCTCCATGTCAAGAACTATCATGATGGGGGTCGACCCTATGCCTGCGATCATGCTGGCTGCAGTAAGACCTTCATCCATAAAGGTTCCCTGTCTAAACACCAGGTGGTGCATAAGCCGGACTACGTCAAACCACCACCAAAGGTATGTGAAAGCCCTTGCTTAAATCTGCAGTTCATGTTATTTCTTGGTTTCAATTGAAGGATTCACAGTGTGATACATGAAATAACATGAACTGCATGAAATAACATTGCACTTACTTATTTATTAAATAAAAAGGAACTGCATGAAATGACATGAACTGCAGAGGCCACTAGTAACTTCATAGTAAACCTAAAAAAACTAAAAGAATCAGATTTGTACATTGAATTTGCTTTACATTTTTATTATGATTATGAAACCAAGGATTCCTCAAAAGCGCCCTAGGCGCTGTAGCTCACAAGCCTGAAGAAACCTGTGGAGAGGAGACAATCAGAAGAAATTACAGTTTAGAGGTGGGAGGAAAACCCCTGAAGAATATTCTGGGGAAACCATGGAATCAGGTAGGGACTGAAAACCCAATCCACATATTGGCCCAGGTGGGATTCGAACCCTGGTCACAGCGGTGGAAGGCGAGGAAAGTACCGTTACGCCAACCTGACTTCCCATACACAAGTTATAAATGCAATATACAGACAAGCAAGTGATTTTCATAGAATCTAGAAATAAGAAATTAAAGCAAGGCAGAAGTTATGCCAAATCCCCAGCATACTTTCGTTGACGTTTGACCCCAGTATACCATTTTGAATATATAATGTTCATGATCACTGCTGGATATGTTCTGATTTTCCTCAAATTCTTTGTTTTCCTACTTTCAAAGTTGACAAATCTTTAGACTTCATAATCGTAGATTTCAAAACTTTTAAGTTCATTTCTTGCAATCAAAGTTTGAATTCAATAATGACATTTTGTGATGGTTCTTTTTTAGCCTCGGAAGAAGAGAGGTCTAGCGTCTCATCTCTCCTGCTACCCAGACGAGGCCACCAGGCCACGGCCCCACAAAAGTAGCCTGGAAACGCTCTCAGGTGACGAAGAAGTGGCGCAAGGCAACACGTCACTCAAGATGGTACAAGAGGCGGTCACATTAGGGGAGAAGAGCGAAGATGCGGTTGCCATGGAAATATCAGTCAGTGACTCTGGAGGAAACGTGGAGGAAGATACTTGAACAAAATTAGATCCAGATATCTGTATTCAAAATTTATTGAAAAGTTTGTAAAATCCTCTCCATTTCAGGGCTGGTATTGCTGCTTACAGGCAAAAGTTTTAAATACTTATATTTTTGCAGTTCAGCTGTTCTTTCATATTATATTTGTTTAACCCAGATTTAAAAAGGTTATTGTTAAAGGAACACTGCGTCCTGGGATACGTCCAATTGGGCTACAAAATGCGTTTTGAACGAAATGTTTATCGAAAGGAACATTTAAAGTAGGATATAAACATCCACACAACTATCCTGTAGATATGATTTCATGACGCAGTGCCCCTTTCACTTATATCTTATTGAGCGTCCCCCCTTTCATAGTTTTAAATTCTTCTGGTAGGTTTTCCCTCAGAATCTACTTTTGATGTCAGATGTGATAGACCAAAAGACCAGTACAAAATAAAGACGCCAGGAGAAAGGTTACATTCGTGTTGATTCTTATTTTTTTTTTTAATGTCTTTGCTTGTTTGCGCTTTGCCACTGATCGAGCTGAATTCTTTTAAGGGGAGTTTGCACGGTTGATTTCCTTAGCAAAAAAAACAATCAAATATGTAGTACATATACCTTGTACACACCAAACATATAGCCAAGGAGTTAAAGTGTTAAAGATCCTGAATCCATCAAAGTTCCCCCAACTGTTCAATAAGGACTTATCCTGAATCCATAAAAATCCTGCAGTTCCGCAAGGCTTACTGTCCTGAATCCATCAAAAACCCCAACTTTTTCAATATGCACGTATCCTGAATCCACCGAAATCCTCAAACAGGGGTTAAAGCACCTGTTCAGTCACGGGTTCGAATTTTCTATCAGTCAATTTTTTATTTTCTAAAGTTCATTATGCAAATTTCTCATATCTTCAGTCTGTTTTCTCGGTTCTCCCGCCAAGACTCTGAAGTTTGCCTTTCTTGTTTCAAATCATTTCCGCTTCTGTGGATCATCCATCATCCAACTTTCTCATCCTTGTCATCGGTCTGTTCATTCTCCTCTCCTCCATCTCTGGAGTCTGTCGCCCTCTGTTGGTTCAGACTCTCCTCCTTGTTCTTCTGCTTGACTAACGCCGTCTTCTCCTTGGCTGACATGCGTCGTAGGGTCACTGTTAAGTTCATTCCGTCCTTGCCTACGTCTCTGGGCTTGCTGGCGAACATCACCCGATCCTCCAGCCCAGCCATGAGTTGGTGGATCACTGCCAACTGTAAAAAAAAAAACAGAAATTAAACTCTTTACATACTTTTTTCAAAAGTGCATTTATAAGGTTGCAGACCAGTAAATAAACTGCCATTGACACCAGCTTATTTCATCATCGTTCCTTTTTTGTGCAATTTTTTTTTTTTTGGGGGGGGGGTTATTCAATGGCTATTGAGAGGAAATTCCATCCAAACATAATCACCCTTAAAAGTAGTCCTGTAGCCCACCACCAGTTTGAAAAATGGTGCCAGGGGGTTGATTGCAAAATAGAGCAACTTTAGGAACCGTTTCATCCGAATTTCACAGAAATACGAGCTCGCACTCCTGTGCACGGCTTCCACCCTTCTTTTTTTTTTTACAAACCCTCAAGTTCATGGCCCACAAAATGCTCAAATAAATTTGTTATAAACTAAACTTTTGGGGTCTATGCAAAAATTCAGTGAACAGAAAGCCAAGGACCTGAAAAATTGCAAACTATAGATTTGCATCAATAATAAAGGATGTTGGAGAAACGGAACATGTGTCATGTGAATTATGACGTAGTATGATCAGACAGACTTGAAAAATATGGCTTGAGAATTTTGACTTGACTCGGACAAAATTTAATTGCGACTTGACTTGTGAATAATATGGAATTTTGCGTCGGGGTGATGTAAATCAAATTAGGTTTTGCCCTTTATACGTCGGTGAAGGGTAAAACCTAATTTGATTGACTTGTGAAGAAATTGACTTGGTTACAACCCTGGTTCCATCATACCTGCTGCTCTTTGGTGACCGGTTTCTGGTGTTTCCCGGTGCCCGTCACTGTGACCCGCACGTGGACCTGCGCCCCGCCCTCTCGGAACCAGTCCTGTAGGTGGCGCCGTTTGACCTCCAGGTCGTGTTTCTCAATGTTGCCCGACAGCCTGGCCTCCTTGACCTGCGTGGGGGCGCTCTTCGCCTTGAGCTTCTCCCTGAGTAGCATCTGTTCTTGATGCAGTTGCTGCCCGGTCATCAGTCTGGAAAAAGAGAATTTAAAGGTAGTGCTGTTAGTTGTCGGTTCAGTGCGTGACATCGCGCAACTGCAATCGGCTGAAAGAGAACGTGTCCCAGACGCTGATTTTAGGCGCAATTTAAAACACAACTCGGCAACTTTTGAATTAAATCGATATCCTAGTAAATTGTTTTCTCGGAATATACAGCATTCACTGAGCTTAAAGTTCATCAGGTTAGTTGTTAAACAACTGTCTTTAGATTTTGAGCATTTTTGTTGATTCAAATGAAAAAAAATGCACAAATGGCAAATGATCTACCCTACCTTTAAATCAAAAATTTGAATTTTAAATGTAAAAGAAAATTTCACTGGCTTTTTGCCCTTAGCCACAGTGAGCTTCTAAGTATGTACGGTGGGACTCAAACCCATGACATCTTGCTTACTAGTGCAGATACCTTACGACTTGACAACAGAGCTGGAAAGGAAATTAAATTTAGTTACAGGAAACTAACAACGTTGTATATACCTATATGTTGGATAAGGCTTCGTGTTTTGGTTGATCAGCACTAGTTTGAGTCCAGTTTCCTGACTCCGCTTGATGGCTTCCGTGCGGTGCAGTGAACCCAGTGATTCACCAGCCTCATCCAGCAAGTGGACAATTCTGTCTGGAACCAGTTTGCCTACACTCTTCATGGAATCCTGAAAAAAAAATTAATAACAAAATAGAAGTGACTGGAATTTTGTTGACAAATTAAGTGGAATTTATGTTTACTACCACGAAAGTCAAAAAGAAATCAGAAGTCAAAAAGAAATCAAAAAGAAATGAGGAAGAAAACGAGTATCTCTTGAAAAGTTACATGCTGTCAACAAAACTACAAGCAGTTAAAATTTCAGATTTTTGCTGCCGATAAACACACTCACAACCGTTCTGCTGCTTACAACAACAAAATATGCTACCTTACTCAGAGAAGCTTTTATGTTGTTTGAGGAATTTCTTTTAGCTTTCCGAGAGCTGGTTGAGCCAGTTCGTTCCGCATCGAGTTCCTTGGCCACCTCCTCGAATGAATCACTCTCAACTGCATCCACATGCACTTGATCTAGTAATTTGTCGCTATCTGCGTCCGAAGTCAAAGACCGAAGCGATAACGTCACTGATGTGGGATTGGTGCATACGAGAGCCCATCTGCGATCGTGGATCCGTACGACTGAATACATCTGCCTTGCAAAGTCAAGCCGAACTGGTTGCTGATGATAGGTGATGCAGTTTCTATGACGATGACTCCCATAGCAACAGCGGAGAGTTTTGTTGTGTTGAGAACAATCATTCCACACCCTGTGTGATCTTGACGATACTACTCGCTGGATCAAACTTTTGAACATGATGAGACAAGTTGTACCATTCTAGTCAGAATCAAAGCCTGTTGGTAAATAAATAAATAAATAAACAGTGGCTACCAATGTTTCAGAAAATATGATTAACGGGAGACTCAACTTTGACTATCTTGAGCATAAAAATATTAGGTATTTTATGGAAAAAAAGGGGGGGGGGTGCTGACTAGTACTAGTACTAGAGGAAGGGGCGGGGATTAAGGAAGATTTACATGATTTAGCACAAGTGTTTCCCACCTCCCCCCCCCCCCCCCCCCCCAAAAAAAAAATCTGGTGGGAATTAGCTATGTCACGCATTGGAAATATCATCTACCTCTCCACTAAGTATGAAGTATAGCTCCGTCCACCTTCAGCATACGGCAGATGTTCAACATATTCAAATAAAAACACGTATCGATACACCTGCTAACTTTGCTAAGCAAGGGCCCGAAAAATGTGTAACTTGAGACGAGTTGATCTTCTGTCTGAGCGCATGCATTTTAGATTGGTTCCTGTCAAAATGGTGATCCTATTTACACTGATACGTCAAGATACCAGTCCCCACATTTCGACTTTTTGTGCACGTTGTCTACTGCATGCACGCCGATGGAAGTGCTTAGAATTACCAGGAAAACATACCAAAGGACACAGCAAACACTTTTCTTCGGTGATGCACAAGTTGTCCAATGTGTTGGTGAGTTCAAAAAAATATTTTCAGTGTGTTAGGAGGGTGTATTTTGTGAAAATTCAGTGTCAGCAAATGTGGAGAAATCTGCAGAGTTTGCAAAAAGTTGTCAAACTTGTTCACAAGAGGGCGCTGTGTATGCATGCCGCGGAACTTTTTAAAGTTTTCTTGAAGCATGTGTTGCCTTGTAACTTTCCAACTTCATGCAGTCTTTATCGAAGACGTTGCTTTTGGGACAACAATACTTTTTTCTGTCAATTGTGATTCTTCTTACAGAATGTGTACAATTGGTATTATTTCAAAATGAGGGTTTGCAGCTGGGAACTGGGGGGGGGGGGGGGGCAGGGGTGGGGAAACGATTTACATCTGTATCATGAACAGCGCCCCTAGTGTCATGTGGTAAAAATACATGAATCCCAAACCTGCTGTGAAAAAAAATTGTGAATTAAATGTGAACGTGTGGCACGGCGCAATTTATTCAACTTGTACTTTTCAATGTATTTTGTAGTGTTTTAGGAGTAGCCCCCTGAGTAAATCCAGCGTTTTTATTAGGTTTTCCATTACTGTCTCCACTAGTTCACATTGTATGCAAATTACACCTTTGCCATTGGACATGGCCCATGGAGGGGTGGCCACTGCCTGAATCCTGCAAAATACTGTGACCATCAATATGGTGAGGCTTGGCCAGTGACATCCTGGAGCAGTACGGAGGATTTCAAGCATAATCCAGGCCTATATTTATGCATGGCTGAGCAAAAACAACACAAGGTCCAGCCCAAGACTTCGACAAAGTGCATCCTATGAAATCAGTAACGCACTTTAACCATGTAACCTCAATCCTCCAAATTCCTCCACTTTGGCTTTTAAGTGTTAAGAACATTTTACTCTGCAATACTTTCAGGTTTGGGTGAACATGTACGGGATGCACAGCAAGAGCTGAGTTAGAAGGTAGGCCTACTGCCCTTCATGGATGGAGAGAGATCGAGGACGAGAATGGAGGAGGGGAACTGTGTCAAGCGCAGGGGAGCCTGACAACAAAGCGGACATCGGTGAGGAACCGTTGAATTCAAGCAGCGGCGGGTACCAGCCAAGATCAGAGAAGTATTATTGATCCTTTTCATGTACGTGTACCAGTTACCTCCAATCCAAAACCTACTGTCAGCTTTGAAACTGATAAAGGTTTAAGCAATTAGATAATCAAACTGCGCTTTTCAACATTCGTCTCACTTCATTCATATCCTGTGAACGACAGTGGGTGTATACTTTCATATAAAAAAAGGATGACAAATTACTCAATTCATATAAAAAGTGCACCCATGTATAGTCTGTTTGGAAACATGATGCGAAAACGAGAGAAACAAACTCTCTTGTAAGACACTACGTGCAAACTTTTGAGCCTATTTCTAAAACCAGCATTTTACCTGGTTTTACCAAAGCACATGCTGTGCAACACTTTTTTCTCTCCGAACCAAAAAAAAATAGAAAATCAATTTGGTTGATTGCAATTTAAAACATGCACATTTCATGTGTTAGTTGTAAACCATTTATAAAAAAAACCCCAGTAGTTTGTGTACACACATACATTTGTAAATGAAAACTTGCATTTTATAAATATGCGGCTGGATTAACAAACAGGAATTATAACAGTTCTAGCTGTTCAAGACTTTCTTCATCCATTATTTTTTATATACCGGTATTTAAATGTAAACAGGACATTTTTTCCTTTTTTTTTTTTGTTGAGCTGAGAGTGACTTTTCAAGCATTGTAACAGAGCATAAACAATAATGATACCAGAACACGTAGATTCAAATGGCTCCGTAAAAAGAACCTCTCAATGTGGATAGAGCATTCCTTCACTCTTGCAGCTGCAGCAGCGTAGCTTGGCCCCATCAGTCCGTCCCCCACGGCTAATCTCTATAAAAGGATGCCTACAGTTGCCACAACTGAGCTGGGTACTTGGTACTTGGTTGCTTCTTCTCCTAAGGACTTCCACAAGGGAGTATAACTAGGAGGCCAGAAACACCTGGGCAAACCCCTTCTCTTAGCGATAAGTATTACTGGGTTCTTCAACATGCGTTGGGCCTTATACAACACACGGGACCTCTGGCTTAACGTCTCATCCGAAGGATGAAGCAATAATGGTTAAGTGCCTTGCTTAAGGGCACAAGTGTCCAGGCCCGGGCTTGAACCCACGCCACTGTTGCCTCTGAAACACCAGAGCATGAGTCCAGTGCTCTTAACTGCTAGGCCGTGACACTCTGGGTGACAATAAGGCCTTTCTCTCTCATCCACTCTTTGCAACTCTGCAGTGTAGATATTTTAAAATAGGTGGAGTCAAAAAAACTTTCTGCATCCATTTTTATTTATCAGATATATTTAAATGGAAAAAGAGAAACATATAAGCATAGCTACCTCCAACGTTCCAGGTAAAACGCAATATTTTGTGTCGCTCCTTTGGGGTTCAACGCTGCTATAGTTTGCTCCCTCGGATTTGCCACCATCAGCATCCAGTGCTGATTGTCCACATTGATGGGCAGAAGAACCCAATCAAAGGTTGTGAATCTTTTCTGTTTTTTTTTCAATCCAGAAAAAAAATAGATGAACGTAAAAATTGTGTAAACTGCAACCTGCAGCCCCAGCTTTATCCTATAATGCATGACCTCTCATAGAAATACTTTTGGGAAAAATAACAGGACTTGTGAGTGTGACTGCACGATTACTTGAAATCTTGTAAAATGTCTGACATAATGTTTGCACTGTAGCCCTTATCTTTACTGACGCTCCTTCAAGTGACATGTAATGTTACCTGGGTGAAGAGCTACTCAAACTGGTCATTAGCCCACTTAGTCGGCGCAGAAGCACTGCAGTATGTATGCCCAGGGATGCCTTTGGGAACAGATATCCAAGAATCCATGGATAATCTGCAGAGTTACAATTAGAAAGATAAAATCTTAACAGTGCTTTGATAAGGGCTTATGAAAGTCACTGAACCAATTCACTAACCTTACAAGTATTAGCATTGGAACTCCATGAATTCCTTTGATATGAACCGTACACACAGCGTACAGACAGTGATTAAAATGTAAAAGAAATACACAGTAATGATATTTGTACTCATCATGAGTTCTTCCTCCCTTGCCATGTGCTTCCTCCTCTTTTCCCTTCTGTGGAAGTCCGGCCCAAACATGCAACAGAGTGTGTTCCATGATTTGATCACGAATGGTACACCATCATCTGGAACTGTGTCATTCAAGTCTCTAAACCAGATCTTGTAATTGCTCTTGATGCCTTTTGAGAAAAAACATAGGATGAAGAAAATTTTGGAAACCAATAATGATGAAATTATAGGCCAAGGTACTAGGGGTGGTGGACCTGGGGGGGGGGGGGGGAGATTTGCCCAAGCCGAAAAACTGCTCATCTAAAATGTGCCCCTTTGAGATGAGAATAAAAGTGGCTCTTTGATTTGTTTGGATATTTTTTTTTCTGTAACCATTTCCATAAGTGGCACAGAGTTCTAACATGTAGACAATGATGTAAGTTACAGTTGCAGTCTTTTACAGTTTCAGACACAAGTGAATTGTCTGAGTACTAGCATGACTAGAGAATTGTATGTTGGTATGTGAGTTGCAGCACATCTGGGTGTTACACGTTGCCCTGAAATGTGGTATTTCCTCTCAGTTGCACCGATTAAAGTATTGTGATGTCATCTGGATGAAGAATATTAGACTTGTTTTCAAGCCCTGTCCCCCCAATATTGTCAATTCTGTCCTTGTGAACGGTGGCTGTGTAAAAAGCTCTTGGCTGCAATTCAGGAACATTGAGTTTTTCCCAGTGTAAATTACTAAGTGTCCAACATGCGAAAAGCATCATCTATGCATGATGTCTTGAATGGCCGAGGCATGTAGCCATCCTGCTTTGCTGGTGTGTCTCCACCATGTACATGTACATGTACAGTAAAATGGCTGAGCTGTCAGTAACCAATGCCAATGTATGGTCAAAACGTTCTGTAAAATAGGCAAAAAGAGAATTGACAGGTCTCATGATTAACATGTATTCTCATCTTGGTTGGAAGCTTGAAAGTTTAACCTTGCCACACCCCTTTCTTCATGGCGCTGCTAGACTTTGCCACACTCCCTGATGGCTTCATGGCGCTGCTAGACTTTGCCACCCTCCCTGATGGCTTCATGGCGCTGCTAGACTTTGCCACACTCCCTGATGGCTTCATGGCACTGCTAGACTTTGCCACACTCCCTGATGATTTCATGGCACTGCTAGACTTTGCCACACTCCCTGATGGCTTCATGGCACTGCTAGACTTTGCCACACCCCCTGATGATTTCATGGCACTGCTAGACTTTGCCACACTCCCTGATGGCTTCATGGCACTGCTAGACTTTGCCACACTCCCTGATGATTTCATGGCACTGCTAGACTTTGCCACACTCCCTGATGATTTCATGGCACTGCTAGACTTTGCCACACTCCCTGATGATTTCATGGCACTGCTAGACTTTGCCACACTCCCTGATGGCTTCATGGCACTGCTAGACTTTGCCACACTCTCTGATGGCTTCATGGCACTGCTAGACTTTGCCACACTCCCTGATGATTTCATGGCACTGCTAGACTTCGCCACACTCCCTGATGGCTTCATGGCACTGCTAGACTTTGCCACACTCTCTGATGGCTTCATGGCACTGCTAGACTTTGCCACACTCCCTGATGATTTCATGGCACTGCTAGACTTCGCCACACTCCCTGATGGCTTCATGGCACTGCTAGACTTTGCCACACTCCCTGATGGCTTCATGGCACTGCTAGACTTTGCCACACCCCCTG